TCTCACTCTACAAATGTATTTGAAGAGTCCATGTCAGCCTATAAAGAGATCTCTTGTAGAGTGTTACAGGGCTTTGCCTTTTGCCCCTTCCTATTTGCTATGTTTACTGTGAGTTAAAGATATGGAAGCTATGTTCACCAGTAACCCAAAGCTGGGAGGGATAATGTATTCCACCTAACCCCAGAATTACAAGAAAAAATTCTCATCAAGTAGAAATGCTAGGGTAAACCCAAGAAAGGGAAATTTAACAAATATAAATTTCTTCATTTAAAATTAAGTAATTATTTTGATTAGTAAAGGAAAAGGGAGGTGGGCCTTAGAGACAGTTTATATGGAGAGGAGGAGGATCTTGGAGATTTTAGTAGATTGTCAGCTCTGTATAAGCTAGTTTAATCTAAGACTGTATTAATAGAAAAATTGTGTGTCAGTCATTAAATTACAGTTCTGTCACCTTTTGTCAGACTGCATCTGGATCTTAGGTTTGGTGGCACACTTTAAAGATGCTGACAAAATTGAAATATAGTTCAGAGGGCAGTCTCTGGACACTGAAGTTTCTTACAAGGCATGGTTTGAGGAAGTGAGATTGGCAAGAGACATAGTAATTATCTTTATTTTGGAAGCAGTGCTCTTAGAAGTTTCTTACAGTGTTCTGATTAACAGATTTGGCTTCCTGGTAACTCAGGGAGCTCAGGAGGCCTAGGATAAGCAAACTGAAGGATATTTTCCCTGGGAAGTTCCCGCTTACCTGTAAGGTATGTGGATTCTTGTAGTAAGCCACCAGTGATACACCCCTCCTTAGATCACCTATTGGCTTCCATATAGTTTTGTCTTTTTGTTTTCTGTCTTTAACCTTACGTAGCATCTGGGCTTTAGTATATTAAAATAGTAAAATACAATTAGAGAAATAATAGATAAATACTAAAATCTTAACTTTCATAAATTTGCATAATTTCTGCTTGTTAGTTGGACATTTATCATATACATATCTTCCTTCTACTAGAGCTTTAGAGAAACACATTTCCTAGTGACAGGAATTGTATATTTTTAAAACCTGTCTTGTTTGAGGAAAAACGTGGTAGTTGATAAACGTAATGTTAAATGCAATAATGTAAGATTAGATTTACGAGAGGTAAATATGGAAAGTGGATCAGAAACAGATAAATATAGGCTGATATTTTCTCATGAAAAACACTCAGTAAATAAATAGATGGAGAGTCGAGATGGGATGATGATTCCCTGTGTTTCAGGCAGCTCTTTGATTCCCCCAGGCTCACTTTATGTTGTTCATTAGATCTAGCTTGAGGGCCTTCTGGTTTCATGTCTTACAGTAATAATTTCCTCATACTATCCACCTTCCTTGAAAAATAAATGTGGGAAGAATGAATACAGTTTTCCCCAGGTTAGGACCTTGTTTACCGTATCTTACTTACCTTGTTGATCACTATCTGCGGGCACCTGTTCCGCCTCCTTTTCTTCTTTTTCTCTCTGCTTTTCCCTTTCCTAGAAATGAGCAAGGATTTTCTAAACGCAGATCATCAGTCACCTAGATGTGGTTTTATTCCTACAAAATGATTGATTGATGTCAGTTGATTTGCCTTAAAAACTTTCTCTACCCAATTCCCCAGGAGAGTTGTTAGGACCAAGCAAGAAATCCAGCATCATCACCTAGCAAACCGTTGTCCAAAATTGTCAACAGGTGAACTGTTTTACATCTTGATCTGGTGGTAGTTACATGGGTGTATAAATATGTAAAATTAATTGAGCTGTACACCTAGATTGTGCACTTTACTATATGCAAGCATGTAAATTACACCCCGATTTGCTTACTTATTTAACCTTTTTTAAAAAATGAGATGAGATTTCCCCGAGTAGCTGGGATTACAGGCTTGCACCACCATTCCTAGCACACCTCAATTTTTAATCTGTAAAATACCTAATTTCTCTTACTATTATAGAAAGGAAATTGTTTCTCCAAATGTTAATTTGTACTCCTAATTCAGCTTTTAAAAAAGAAACTTTAATGCTCCCTATTATGTAAGTATTTTAGAGACATTGTGATTTTCATATTTGAAGTGTGTCAGTCAATTTGCCAGAGTTCTTGGTATACGTGAAATGCAGAGGCAGTCAAAGTTTAAATTATAAAATATTCTCCATTGTCTTTAAAGTCAGGAATCATTTCAGGGCTGATTAGCACTGTTTTTCCAGTGTGCTAAGACATTTCTAGATACGTAGCACGCATTCAAGAACATGTAATTTTTGTATGTACAACATTTGCTGATGTTTCACACAGAGGAATTTATAATTATTTTAGGATCAGTGTTTTTATCTGACGTTTATACAATTTTCATTTTACATTAATGTTATTTTCTGTTTTTCAGTTAGTAGATCTAAGTCTGTGTAACACAGTTTTAAGTTTTGATTTTAAAGCCCTAACTATATTTACAATCTTAGGGAAAATTAATATCCTACTTTTAAGTTCTCTACTTAAACTTACCACTTTTTTCCTCCAAATATCTCAACATATTTTTCTAATTTATATCCTTCTTAATGTAACACTATCAAATCTACTACTGTTTTCTTTGGCTAATGTTTCATGTTTTATCTGTGGTTCGTTGGAAAGATTGCTGCCAGACTCATCATTAACTTCCCTTGGTTGCTTCTCATAACATTTCCATTTTAGGAACTTCCATAATAATCTGATGGGCCAAATGTACTACACAATGCCTCAAAGTATACATAACTTAATTACATTTTAACCTTTTAAAATATAGGAGCTGAATCAAGTTGCCTTACTGGACAAAATAAGAAAAAAAATTTAATGAGCAATTGTCAGTATATGTCAATGTGACTTTTAAAATGCAACTTTATTTAAATATAGTTGGCCGATTTAAAGTGGTTTTCCTTTCCTTCCTTTTTTCTTTTCCTTTCCCTTTCCTTCCTTTTCCTGACAGGGTCTCACTGTCCTTTCTTTATAAACGAAGGACAAATTCTACTGCCTTCTTCAAATATCTTCAACCTTTGATTTTACTTTTTAGCTGATGGTTTAGTTTTGTTGTTTATTAGAATAAGTGTTCAAAAGAAGCAATCAAGTACAAATTTTCTAACTCATTCAATACTTGATCTCCCTTTTTGCTTTGCGGTCTATACAGGAATCAATCTGGTTACAGATTCTAGTGTGGAAAATTTCTTCTAGTTGAAAATGTCTTCTGGCTGATCCTCTTAAAACATCAATTTGACCATAAAGCACATGTATTTGTTTCATTTGGTTAGGTATTTTTTGGGGGCAATTGTGATATTAACCCCCCCACCCCCACCCCCCCGCCACCCCTCTGAGTGAGCCAATCCTGTATTTCTGTTTATAGAACTGGAACTTCCAGATATTTAAAACCTATCCATATAAAATATCTGAATTTTTGAAACAATGAATTGATTTGCTAAATGAGTAACCTTTAGATAGCCTTCCTGTAGTGGCTTGAGAATTCTGTTTGTAACATTTCTCAAACTGCCTTTTCTAAGATGTTGCTGTATCAATGGAACTATCTGGTAGAGAGTAATTTATTTTATTGATGAGACATTCATTTGTGTACATTCAACAATATAATTGGCATGAAAACTCACTCTTCAGGATAATATATCAGTTGTATCTTCCACAGTAACTCTGAGAAACTTGGACAACAAGGTCAGAACACTGCTGTTTTGCAGGATAAAGTTGTTTAGCTGCCATAGGACAGAGTGTCTTAAGGAATGGAAAACTGCATAGCTAGTGAAGGAGGTTGTTAAGCTTCCCCCCAACAACCTCAAAAACAAAAAAGCCAGAATTGTGTTTTCAAACAAATATAAACCAATAATAGGATAAACTGAATCAGATATCTGGTTTAACAAAGTTCACCAAATCCCTAGTAACTGTAAGTGTGATATTGCTGTACTAAATACCCATAGAGGAGGGATCAGCAAAAATAGCCTGTGAACCAAATCTGGCACCCTGCTTGTTTTTGTAAATAAAGTTTTATTGAACACAGTTATGCCATTTGTTTACATACTGTCTATGACTGCTTTCATGCTACAAGAGTTGAGGAGCTCTGGAGACAGAGACTGAACAGCCTGTGAAGTCTAAAACATTTACTCTTCAGTCTTTTATAGGAAAAGGCTGCCAACTCCTGCTATAGAGGATCCAGCGTAAGAAAGATCTATTTTCTATCCTCATCTTCATCTTTAGCTAGTGTGACCGCAGGGAAAAATGGCTAATACAGATATTTAGCTAACTTATACACAAAGCAAAAAGTAGAATAGTAGAATTTTACCAGATACGAAAAGGATATGAAAGGTCAACTTAATATACGAAGATAGTTAGAATAATAATTTCTGTATTGAAGAGTAGTGGATATCTGGATAAATTAGTACTATGCCTATAATTTATTATTATCTAGTTTTAGTTCAGAATTTTATATATATCCAGCAAATAGCCTGGTTTTCACCATAGGAGCAGAGTGGCCAATATTAATTGCCATAAAAGGCAGTTAGCATTTCTTACTGGGAACTTTTTGGGTCTAGAATATTTGACATAGTCACATACTCACTTGGCTGTCTCATTCCAACACATCTTTAGAATAGGAGCTTGGGGCATCCATCGAATGGAGTCTGTCACTTCCAGTGATGACTGTGGCAGGTGAAAGCTCTGTCAATAGGCTTTATCGAATTCTGCAATGTTCATTACTCCAGCGTTTGGGCCTCCAAACAAAGCTTGATGACAGGAGCCAGATCAACTCCTTGTTGATCTTTCTTTAGCAAAGCTATAGAAGGAAAAACCACACACAATTCAGAGTCTAACTTGTTAGATTTTCAGTTTATTGGCTTCTAAGGGAGTAGGCTTGGGACTGCGGACCAGAGAGAGTTTTGAATGAATGACCCTTCTCCTTACTCTTTAACATACTGTGCCTTGGAAACTCTCCTTGAAACATCATTTTGTGCACGAAATACACTTGCCCTAAACAGAAACTGACTGATAACATCACTCTTGTATTTACTTTAATTGCAAACTTTTTTTTCATTTCAGATAACATTATGTAAAGTATGTACTTCCATTCGGTGCTTTTTGGACCCTGTTAACCAAATAGCACACATCTCTACAAATTCTGTATATGAAATACAGAAATGGCAGTGTCCACTGGGGATGGGAATTCAGTTTCAATCTAATGGACAGCAGGGCTGTCTCAGCAGAACCCGAGTGGAGTGATGGTCCCCTTCACTAAAAGGAGAGATGAGACACAAATGTCTCAGAAGGCAGAGATTCTAGTTTACTTTAGAATGTGCCTTAGCATCAATGCTAGAGAGAGACCATTGAAATGGATCTTATCAGACAAAAAGTATCATTTCATAATGGTCTTAAGACTAGAACTTGATTAAAATGGAATCACCTGTCATTTAGTGGCATATGATTATATGAGACTCTTGTACTTCTTGAGAAAACATTATCCTAGGGTAGTGTCCCCTCTACCCCACCCCATTGGGCACCATCTGGAGACATTTTTAATTGTGACCTGGGAGTAGGAGTGGTGTCAGCCAAAATTTTCAGCTGAGATTTTAACATTTTAAGACAAATTAAGTCTTTCTAAAATCCTTTTAGACTTTGAAACATAAGTATTTCTTATTGCTTTAGGATGTTCTCAATTGAACCACGAACAGACGTCTTATTATTTTTATTCATATATTTCAAACATAATTATTGTAAAAATTTCTGAAAGATACAGAATTGTTTTATAAAGAAGAAAGTGAAAAACACCATAATCCTACTATTGATTTGTGTATTTTCTTCAAGATTCAATATATCATGGAGCAGATGGTTTATCAGAGTACAGTAGTCTTCTTAAGCAAATCAACTGAAAGTGGGATTTTTCCTGGGATACTGCTTACATTATCTTTCCCTAGCCCCTTCTCTTTCAAATACTACTACTCTCACACAAAGTTTACAGTCAGTTTATCAGAACGTGACTAATTATACTATATATACCTGAGTAGAATTTCAAGCTTTAGGAATTCTTACTGATATTTAAATAGAGTCAGGAAAATGTTTTGTAGACCCCTTTATTATTTTCAGTGTGTATGTTAATAGGTTAGATTTTTTATTAAGTACCTTTACTTATAGTAGGGTTTATTTTATTTTTTTTTATTTAAAAAAAAAAATTTTTTTTGAGTCGGAGTTTCGCTCTTGTTACCCAGGCTGGAGTGCAACGGCGCAATCTCGGCTCACCGCAACCTCCGCCTCCTGGGTTCAGGCAATTCTCCTTCCTCAGCCTCCTGAGTAGCTGGGATTACAGGCACACGCCACCATGCCCAGCTAATTTTTTGTATTTTTAGTAGAGACAGGGTTTCACCATGTTGACCAGGATGGTCTCGATCTCTTGACCTCGTGATCCACCCATCTCGGCCTCCCAAAGTGCTGGGATTACAGGCTTGAGCCACTGCGCCCGGCCAGTAGGGTTTATTAATAAATAAAAATATTTTGTAACTCTTCAGTCTGAGTCTAGAGGCAACTTTTTACTTTTCTGGAAGAATTTTTGGTTAATTATGAGATCAAAAAAGGCAAGGAAGAGGGAAAGACCAGATAATCTGGACCACCACATAACAGTATCTCTGGACTTCAGACGCCCCAGGAGGGTGCAGCTGGGGAGTGCTATATTTTCTGTATACTTGGTGAGTCAAATTTGGTTTGGCAGAGAATTTTTAGAAGTAGATAAGTCTCTGTAAGTAAAACTGCAGTTTTAGCCAAAGAAAACAGACTGTAGATTTGATGACTCCATTTGATTTATTAGTGCCATATGCAGGGCCTTTTGATCTTCAGCATTCAGTAAACCAACGAATTGATATTTATCAGAACTCCATCACATGGGAAGAAATTTTAATTTGCCTGTAGTGTTGATACTAATATAATTATCTAACACCTGCATCCCATTGATGATAATTGTGTTAGATTATATTAAATTTTAATGATAGGTACAAACTGAGCATTAAGAACACATTTTTGGATAACATTAACATTGACAGTTCTCTTATTTCTTAGGAAATGTGAGTACATCAAACTTGCTTACTTGTGTATATAACAAAACCTCTCACTAGGAGTGCAAGAACGGTGTATGTGTAGTGATTGTAGTTTTTATAGAAAAAAGAATTGGCATTGATGATATACCACATGAGCAGATGCTATATAATAAAGGTGACTCACAATCTTAATTTGTCAGACAACACTAAAGAGTTTCAATTAAGTTTGAGGTTTTGGCCCACCTCTGAATTCCTTTGTAATGTTTTATGAAGTAGCAAAAACTAGAGGACAAATATTTTTGCCATTAAGCATTCAGCATCTATCTGTTTTGTCTTTTTACTACCAAGACAGTTAACATATTGGCAGAAGTGTGTAAGTCTACAAAATTGAGATGAACTATCAAGAACAGGATCATGATATTAGTATTTTATTTAAATGGATCATTTTCTTGAGAGTCTCGGGGCCCAGTTTTTCTCCAGAAGGAAAAACTTCTCAGTCTCAAACAATGGGATGCCCTAAACAAGTTTCACTTTTTTTTTTTTTTTTGAGACAGAGTCTTGCTCTATCACCAGGCTAGCATACAGGCTCACTGCAACCTCCGCCTCCCAGGTTCAAGTGATTCTCCCTGCCTCAGCCTCCCGAGTAGCTGAGACTACAGGCACATGCTAATTTTCTGGATTTTAGTAGAGATGGGGTTTCACCATGTTGGCCGGGATGGTCTCAATCTACTGACCTCACGATCCACCCACCTCGACCTCCCAAAGTGCTGGGATTACAGGCGTGAGCCACCGTGCCCAGCCCACTTTCTTTTTTCTAAGAATTCTCAAATATTACTTGATCAGGCAGTTCTTACCTATAGATGATTTGTACTTAGATTAACAATCACTTTTTAATTCTCATGGATGATTTATACTTAGTTTAACCATCACTTTTTAATTCTCACCTTTGTTTATTCTGTTTGTGTAGAAGTCCATGCTAAAAGGTCTTATACATTGGGCATTGAACTAGGTACTATATCAGCTGCCTGTTCCAGGAGAAGCTTGAGAGAAAATAAATTTTGGATTAGTCTAAAGGAAGTTACCTTATTTCTTGAAGTGTCAAGTGTTTTTCAGGGAAGACTATCACAGGGGGAGAGAGTGAACAAGCCAGACGGACTGAGATGTAACTTTCTAATATCATAATTTTTTATTTATTCCTATTGATGATAATAGTGACTAATACTTAGTCATCATTTATTCAGTGCTCTGTCCTAACTGCTTTGCATTGTCAATATTCTAACATTAGCAACATGAATTATTACTTATGTTTCCCCATGTTAGAAATGAAGGAACTGAGACCTGGAGAGATGATGTTATGTGCTAAGGTGACATAGCTAGGAAGCGATGCAACTGAGATTCAAACCAGGTTTGTTGTTTTCAGGACCTGAGCACCAAATTATTATAGTGTTCAATTCCTTTCACCCTCATACTAATCTAGACCTTTCAAAATATTTGACATTGAGATTAAAATGCAAAGTTCATGTCAAAAGTAAAGTATAATTATTTTAAAATTGTTTGCCATTCAAAATAATGTACCCCTCAAACAGCTGATAGCTGCATTTGTTTTCTGCTCCTCACTAACATCTTAATATATAAAAATCTCAATGTGTATGCATATATACAACACAATAGTGTTGTAGGTGTAGTTGATAGCTGCCAGCAAACAGTGCCATCTGTGTTTTCTCTCTTTTTTTTTTTTCTTTTAACTTACTGGAAAATGTGACTGAAGCTCAAATTATGAATAGGAGCTTAAAGTTCACGTTTAGTATCTCCACCTTTTAACTCTACCACCCTTTATTTGCACAAGAAAATGTGATCCTCTGTAGTGACTTTGCCCTGTTTACAGAATAGGAGTGTGTGCTATTACTGATAGGATGGGCAGGTCTTACAGTTAAAAATACCCATAAGACAAACAGATCCTGCAACCTTTACATAGTCATTTCTTTACTTTGTGCTTCATAAAACCCTGTAGGCTAGAGCAAGAAATTGATGTAAGTCGATTTCAGACTGTCTTTAAAATACATCCTGGAATTCTAAATTAATGTGATTCAAGATCCTGGTATACTAAGAGAGATATTTAAGCATTTGATATCTGATCTCTCTAGAAGAATGTCTGCTTACCACACGTACAGTAGTATCATATGGGAGAAGCTAGTTTCTAAAATAGTTCGGGGTGGATGTTTGCTTCTGATTAGCCTGTGTGTGTGTTAGATGAATGAGCAATTGGGAAGTCATGACCATGTGTTTGCTGTCATTTAAACTGCCAATCTAATCTAAATATACATGTGGGTGCCTACGGAGACTTCTTCCTTTTCAAGAGGATCGTTCTTAGTTCTTAACAGCCTTCAATTCCTTGCCAACACACATGAACTTAGGGGCACTTCTGTTTTCCTGAGGGCTATACTGTTTTCTTTTAAAAGAGGTGAGGACAATTTCTTTGCTTTTTGTGTTTCTAATTTTTAAAGATAAACTATATGTAAAGTTTATTTACTATGAGTAGTAATTTCATAGGCAAGATAGTTTCTTGGATATTATATAAGGTAATGAAAAATGGGGGGAGAGGGATTGAACAAGTAAAAGCCACAGGAGGTTTTGATTTATAGAAAAGTTCAGGAAAATCTTATCAATTTTAAATGACTAATTTCCATATAACATGCATTCATCTAATTAAGAAAAAAATGGGGAAGAAGTTTAAAAATAGCCCCAATGAGCATTTTTTCTCCAGAATGATTTAAAGTGGGAAAAAAGATACCTTTCTCCTCCGACTTCAGAGCATTTGCAAGTATTTTATCTACCAGTGAATTTTTAAATGCATGTTAAAGAAATAGAAAGGTTTTTTTCTTTAACTCATGATTATCATATTAAACAATTGCTTTTATTTTCTTAGAGAAGCTAAGGATTAGAACTCTAATTAACTTTCTAATCTGAAATGAATCTGCATTCAGAATAATGTTGTTCTTACATTTTTTATAATTATATAGCATATTTATGTTGAAAAGTCATATATCCAACATGATTTTCTCCATTCACATATTTTTAAATATAAAACTAAACACTGCAAAATTTAACTTACCAGAAAAATAACAGAATATCCCTTGTTATCTAACCACTAGGGTATTTGGTAAAAATTAGTTAGCACTTAATTTATATTAAATATTGTTTTATTAAATCAAAAATATAACTATGTAAATTCTTATACAAGTACATGTATTTAATTTTCACTTGTTTGATAGTTACATGACTGAATGGAATTTGGATTGGTTTACAGGTTAATATACATGGCATATATAATCTAAGATACATAGTTACAATATTTAAAAAACACAGCATTTGTTCAGAGTTAGGTGCTTTTCATACATGGGCAAAAAGTTCTGTCATTTTTTTTTTTTTTTTTTTTTAGAAAACTATGACATTTGTGGAGTTTTGTATTTGGAATATCAAAAAGCATTCACATTCTTCAGCAGAAATAAATTTTCCTGGAACTACATTCAAGGAGAATTTGTCATGTGGGTCTCTATAAATTAAATGCAATCACATGATGTCCAAATAGTTAATATTACATATAAATATGCATAGTAATTGTATGTGAATGCTAATCATTTAAAATTGTTTTTCTGATGCACTAAAACATTGTTGCTTTTACCCAAATGTGGAAATGTCTAAAGGCTTAAAATACTTTGTTGGAACATTTGCTTTTGAGATATCATTTCAGCACAATTTCAGAGAAAACAGAAACTGATCCTAATAAATTCCTTTTATTCTAGGAAGAGTCATATTTAGTAAATTATATTTTAGAGCAGTAAGTGGAGCCTTAGTGGTTCTTTAAAGCTAGTCTCTTCCCTTCCTCCCACCATTGCCCAGCCCATACTCAGGCAGTTTGCTCAGTTCATCAGGAAGACCATGAAAATAATAACATCAATATTTCTGGCTTTCTTTCACATTTTTAGTTTATAAGAAAACAGCACTTTCCAGACTAATTTGACTTTCGTTTCCAGCAGCCAGTTAGCAAAGAGAATCTACTCTGTTACACATTTCATATTGTTCATAAGATGAAAACCAACCAGTCTCTTAGAAGATGTTTAAGTTAGATGAAATTAAGTGAAAAGAAAGGTCGGTGTTTTCTCCTTGATTTTCTACCTATGGTGTCTAAATGTAGTAGATAAAAGGTAATGAGCAGCCTTTACTTGGAAGGAAGAAATTGGAATGGCAGGTTATAAACTAAATGTGTTGAAGTTTTAAAAGTATCCATATTTGAATTGTACGTGCACATGTGTGTATAGTAAGGTTTGTAGAACTGAATAATAATTCCTGAATAACGATTCCATGCATAGGAATTGCTCTTGTTTTATGAAGATTAAAAACAAGTTGGGTCTTTAAATCATTCTTGAGTTATATAAACTTGAATGAGTTTCTGAGGATCAATTCAGAAACGATTCCAAACCATCCCTGAAGAATGCTATAAATCATATGTGCTATTGCTCTAATTGAACAGTGTGGATCTGGACCCTCATTAACTTGCCTGTAGGAAGAGAAAATTGAAGAGAGAGAGGAAGAGGCTGAGGAGAAGACCTTTACCTGTGCTGTCCTGAGCTGCCATTGTTGAAGGACATCCTGTGAGCTAATTTCAGTCCCATTTAAAAAAAAATCTATTTAGTGATTAGTAACCAGTGGATAAGAGTAGAAAGCCCTAGTGAATAAAGGCCATAAATACTGAAGTCTTTGGGATAACAGCCTGTAAAACTGTCAGAAACCATTGCTTAAGTGACAAAAGATAGCCTGAAGTAACAAGAATGTTAGCTCACTGGGCAATACTACATATTCATGAACAAGGAGATGTAATTTAGTTTTCTTCAAAAATAGAGATTCTTCTTGAATCCAGTACCTGCCCCAGTTTATTTATTTATTTGTTTTGGATGGTGTCTATTTGTTTTAAATTTATGGTTAACTGCTTTTGCTAGGAGGAGTCATGATGCCTGTTTGTAGATAGCTTTGTTTCCAAAAGTGGAACTATGATTACTGAAACTTCTGTTTAGATCCATCAAGATCTACTCACTTGTTAAGAATGTTAAGCCTAACTGGAGTGAATGGGTGAGTATGTGTGAGTGTATATTTTTAAAAGGCAGATGGTTAGGAATTAGATGCTGACACTTGCCTTCCATCTAAAGTTGGTAATTCTTATATATTTCTCCCTAAGGGGAAAAATTAAATAAAAACAGGAGAATGTAAGTTTATATTGCACACTGTTTTGTTATTACTGCATAATATTGAGATTCAAATGATTAAAGTCTTACCAGACAGTAATTTAGATTTGTTTTTAAGGCTAGAGAAAATTCAAGAGATGAATCCAATGTCTTTATTCTAAACTCCAATTGTTCTGACTGTGATGATGATTTGGGGGCTTTTGAGTGACAGTGTAAATTCTGTGTTCTTTAGTTTTGTAGTATAACCTCTACATCCCAAATGTATGTTTTAGAGATGTGACTTCAGTGTATTTAGGTGTTGTGCTTCTTCAAGTTAGAGAATTTTATCAAGTTAGAGTATTCGCTTTTCAACGTCCAGCCTGTGAGAACTAGAGGTGTCATTCATTTGAAGGGAGCAGATGTTAAAGGTTCTTGCCCCTGCCTCCCTAATCCCAAACACCCTTGAAGAAGAGAAATGTTCTGTTACCCAAATAGGCATCTTTCTGATGGTGAGAAAAGGCAGTAAAAGGCAGTAAATCTGCCTTCTCATTATGAAGTGCAACAATAGATTGATTTATGAAGAAAAGCAACTGTTAGGCTTATATAAGATGTGTGCATGGAAATGCAGGTTCCTTTAGAGCCTTATAAGCAGTAGCATTCCTCCTATTCTGGGCAGGAATCTAATACTACTAATAGGCTATATGTGATTCTCAACACCACATTTTTAAGGGGGCTACACTGAGAACAAAACAAAAGAATCTACCTCCTAATATTTTCACATGAGAGCTGTCTTGTAAATGTAACATGGGTTTGCTCTTTTAGTTCATTTTCATTAAGAATAGAGGGACTTCTTATAGTGGTTATATTATTACAAACTTTTTAATAGGACTTAACATTTTAAATAGAAGTGAATGTAAGTATAGCATATTTAGACTGATTATAAACAATTTCACTTAATATTGTATAATTTTCTGTAAACAGTATAAAAATAGACTCTCAAATAGAGCCACAGATAACTTCAAATTTCTAGGGGGATTATGTAAAGCATTTTGTATTGGGTTTTTAAGAAAATTTATGTGCACTTTAAAATCTTTTAAATAAGTTTGTGATACTTCTTCTTCAATAAGGAACTCTGTTTACAGTATTTCTATTAAATGTAAAAAGTAAACTTTTAAGCTGTTAGTTTGATTTTGATCAAAAATACTGTAAAATGAAAAAATCTGGATAGTTTCTGTGTGAATTGTAATGAGACTGTCCTGTTTATTTAGCACGTATCACTCCAAAACTTGAAATCATGTGATACATTTGAGGAAGTAAATTACAGAATTAAAACTTACAGAGTTGGTATTAGAACTCATCTCTCCTTGTAAACCTGGATCCCCAATATATGTACATTTCCAAATTTTAGTAAACCAGGATACTATGTACAAGAATAAGTTATGCTATACTTTCATATTATGTTTAAGAAAACACATACAAAAACTTGAAAATTTAAAAGACAAATATGAAAAGAGATCTTGTTATTTTCTTTTACTACTATGGATGGTTCTACACACATCTATGTACACATGTATGTGCATACCCACACCTAAAGAACTTTGGAATTTCTTGATCTAGATAGAGGAAAGAGCTCCACTATTGTAATTCTAGTGAGGAAGATATAAGGCTTATAAAGAAATAATCCTTGCAACTGTCATTAATCTTTGTTTTACAAACTGATAATGAGAAAATGTTGCATTTTTGACCTGGTGAAAATGACGTAGTCTTAAGTCAACACATTTTCCCCAGTGGATTTTGATTATATTGAAAGTCAAACTACCTTGGATATAAGTTCTTAGCAAATAAAATAAACTCTTAATGCTACTGCCATGATAGTAAATCCAGGTTTCACATTTAATCAGGAAAATTCTGTCAGATACTCCAAAGATTAAAACTAATACTTCTTGACATCTGTGTAAATCTGTAAAGATTACGTTGGTGTCATTCAAATGCTTTATGAACATTTTAAAGTAACTCATTTTTTTAAAAGGTTAAAGTTAATAAGGAAATGTAGTTAAATGTCAAAATAATCTCTTCAGATATATCTATGTTTTAGTTCATTTCATTTAATTGTCACCTTTATTTCTAGAATTATTCTATTTAATTTACTTTAATACTTTTTTATAATCCAAAATATACTTGAATATTTATAATCCAATACTGAGACCTATAGTCACATATGATGTACTTTTTAGGACTTTGTTCAATTCAGTGTTGCTGTTATAAATGTTGAGAAGACAACAGTGATTTTTCCACTATCTTAAGTTTCATGTGCCCTGCACAGGATGGTTATTTCATAAGCAACTGAATAGTTCTGACAATAATTTCAAGATCTTATTGCCAACTGACAAGTAGTGGAGTTTTGATGTCCATTGGTCAACTCCAATAACAATTAATTATGGGGCACTTCTATCAGGAAACTTTTTTCCTTCTTATTTCTCTTCTATGAGCAATTACAGCTCTAAACCCTCTCACTTGTAACGTTTTTCTTTCTCTGCTCATCACTCCCAAAACACACAAAAGAGAAAGAAAGAGAAAAAACTGCTAAAAGATAGGTCTTTGGCATTAAGTGGTGTAGTAAAAGGCCAGTTATGAAACCCAACTTCTATACATGTGATCTTTGCTCAAAAATACTACTATGTTTATAGGTAGTATGACTATACGTGGTCTGATTTCAGATGATTTCTCATTCTCAAAGCTCTTAACAAGGATTGTTCAGCCAGTGATCTTAGAACACATCTTGCAACAACTGGATTTTTTGAAAGAGCATATGTTCTGGCTACACTAGTAGCAGCTTTTAAAGTACAAATGGTGATGATAGATAAAAGACTTGAGGCTCTTCTGCTTAAAAGGGAGGAAGCTGAAAGAAAATTATAGCCATCCCTAAGTGTGGAAAAGGGTCTTAGGGAGAGATTTATAGGCCCTTGCTCCCCAAGGCCATTTTATTTCCTAATGAGATTTTCAATTCTCAGACAAGTAGTGTTAAGTCCAAATGACAGCATTTAATAATAACAGTGAAGATAATGATAATAATGAAGAAAGTGAATGCAATTGTAAAAACAGGCACCTCAATACAAGCCAGTTATCTTGGCATCCATGATGATTTTATATCTGTAAGTTGAAAATATAACAGAAATAAGGACGTTTCTTGTTTTGCTAACAGTTGAGAGGATAATTCTTAGGATCTTGCTCTATTATCAGAAAATGACGGGTATAACAATAGCTTCTGATAACATAAGAACCCAAGAGGCTAAATGTGATTCTAATCTAACATCAAATTCATTCAAGTTGGCATTATACAAATGGAGAGTGTCTGCTAAAGAGAGATGTAGTCTTCTCTGTGGTTACAGCCTTGAGTAGGTGTCTAGAAATAAAGGATGCACTCTAGTGTCCTTTCCCCAGTTCCACTATGTTTTGAAAGAAAGAGCTGTTAACAGGTTATTTAAAGCATTAAATGTGTAATTGTCTTCTTGGATATTATGGGATATTATATTGAAGAGTTAGGAAAAGAGGGTAGATCACTTTTGAAGGCAAATGATTGTGCTGTGTTGCCTGATGTGCTCATTGGCCCTGTTCATCAGTACCAGTCCCAAGAGGATTAGGGCAGTTTAGAGAAGAAACTTCCCTGTTTTCCTTTATGAAACTGATTGAACTAGTGAGGTTTGTAGTCAGGATTCATTGTAATATTGATTGTACAGATGTTAGAAGCAATTGATCAGACTCATTAACTCCCCTGGGATGAAGTGTTTTGTTTTACCACTGGTTTGCTTCTGGGTGTGGATCACAAGATGTCCCTTGGGGACAGAGGATATTCCGTACATCTTCTGCAGTGACAAAACTTGGTTCCCTGACACTAATGTTATAAAAGATGTTAGTATGTTCAGAACACGGCTTTAAATTAATTGCACTTTTTCAAAGTTAATAGTTACAGTACAGAGAGAATTGGATTACAAGTCAGAAAATCCAGTTCTAATTCACCTAAGTATTACTATCCCCGGTCACTTAATCTTGCTCTGTGTTTCAGTTTTATCATCTGAAAAATTATGATAAAAAATGTGCCGTGCTATCTGAGTCAGCTTGGGCTGCCATAACAAAACACCATAGACTGATTGTCTTAAGCAAGAGGAATTTATTTCTCACAGCTTTAGAGGCTGGTAGTGCAACAAGGAACCTGGTAAGGTCTCTCTTCCTGCCTCGCAGATGGCTGCCTTCTTGCTGTGTCCTCACATACTGAAAAAGAAAAGACGCAAGCTTTCTGGTGTCTGTCCTAACAAGGACACCAGTTCCATTAAGGGAGCCCTACATTCATGATCTCATTTTAAACCTAATTACCTTCCAAAAGTCCCATCTCCAAATACTAAAACATTGGGGCATTGGGGATTAGGCCTCAATATTTTGCCTATTAATGGGAATTTCGTAAGATAGATTTCACTCATCTGATGGAGAACATTTTTCCACAATTGTTTGGCATGGATATTATATCTTTTATTTTGAGATAGAGTCTTATCTTGTTGCCCAAATGGAGTGCAGTGGTACAATCATAGCTCACTGCAGCCTCAAACTCCTGGGCTCATGGAATCCTACTGCCTCAGCCTCCCAAGTAGCTGGGACTACAGGCATGTTCCACCATGCCTGGCTAATATTTTTATTTTTTTGTAGAGATGGGGTTCTCACTATGTTGCCTAGGCTGGTCTTGAACTCCTGGCTTCAGGCAGTCTTCCTGCCTTGGCCTCCCAAAGTGCTGGGATTACAGGCATTAGCCACTGCACTTGGCCTGTTATGTTATTTTTAAAAATGTATATTTAAAAATTGAGTGGATTATTTTTAGTTTCTCACAGAGGAGAAACTAAATGAGGTAAACTTTTAAGCGTTTTTTTATGTTAAACAAAAAAGCTATATAATGTGTAAGATTATTATTTTTTTTTAATGAAAGAAGGCCTAGAACTATGGGAAGAACCTACTACTTCGGTTGGCCATGATGAAAATTGAACAGATAAGTAAATAATGTGTCTTATATTTGTGTTTTCTTCTTTTATTTGTATTCATCCACAGTCTTTCTGAATATTTGTGCAAAGAAAAGATCATCTTTATGGCAGGCTATAGATGTTCTGTTTCCAGGCGAGGTATACATTTATGAAAAGTGTAGCAATGTGTCTGAAATAATTCCTATTTAACTAGTTATACTTTACTCTTTCCCTTTTCACTAAAGAAAGGTATATAACATTCTCCCTCCTTTTTCTTTATTTTGATTAAAGATCAAATCACCAAAATTCTGTTCATAAATATAGTTGCTCATTAGAAAAGACAGAACTACTTTTGACATTTGTTAACTATGGAGGAAGTATGCCCTCAGTACAGGATCAGTGCCAGTTTATGCAGGCCTTCTCCTGTGATCTACCTTGTCATGTGCTTGCTTTTGAAACACTTCTAGTTGTAAATATGTGGTTTTCTTACTTGTCTTGGACAAAGTAATACTCTGTAGAAAATCCATTGCAAAATGATTTTGCACAGTCATTTAATGTTGAAGATTGCATTGCAAATCCTGGTAGGCCCATTGTTTTAGTAGTAAAGATATATCTTGTTTTAGGCAGTAGAGGAGGTGGCCTATTGTAAATAATAGTAGCAACCAAATGTTGATTAGCTACCATTAGAACAGCAGTGTGCTAAGTGTTTTTACTTTATTATATCAATGTAACATAATCACTTCTATGTGAGGTTCAGTGCCCTCACTCTATGAGCAAACTAAGGTTTAAGCAATCTTCGCAAAAATATACTAGCACGTAGTAGAATTAAGATACTTAAGCATATGTAGGCGTATCTTCGGGACACTACAGGTTAGTTTCCAGACAATTGCAGTGAAGCAAATAGCACAATAAAATGAGTCATGTGAAGTTTTTGGTTTCCCAGTGCATATAAAAGTTATATTTATACTATATTGTAGTCTATTAAATGTGGCAATGTACATTACCTTATTAAGATATACCTTGTTGCCAAAAATGCTTACAATTATCTGAGCCTTCAGCTAATCCTAGTCTTTTTGCTGGTAGAAGGTCTCGCCTGGATGTTGATGACTACTGATCGATTGCGGTGCTGAAGGTATGAGTGGCTGTGTCAATTTTTTGAAAAGAAGACAGTGAAGTTTGCTGCATGGGTTGACTCTTCCTTTCACAAAAGATTTATCTGTAGCAGATGAGGTTGTTTGATAGCTCAGTAGAATTGGACTCAATTCTTTAAAACCCTGTCACTGCTTTATCAACTCAGTTTATATAATATTCAAAATTCTTTATTGTCATTTCAACAGTGTTCCTAGCATTTTCACCAGGAGTAGATTCCCTCTCAAGAAACAACTTTCTTTGCTCATCCGTTCAAATATTATGAGATTACAGAACTGTAGTCACATCTTTAGACTCCACTTCTAATTCTCTTTCTGTTTCCACCACATCTGCAGTGACTTCCTCCACTAAAGTCTTGAACCCCTCAAAGTTATCCATGAAGGTTGAATTCAGCTTTTTCCAAACTCCTTGTAATGTTCGTAATTTGATCTCCTCTTGTGAATCATGAATGTTCATAATGGCATCTAGAATGGTGAATCCTTTTTCCAGAAAGTTTTTTATTTACTTTGCTCAGATCCTTCAGAGGAATCACTATCTATGTTAGCTATGGCCTTACAAGATGTATTTCTTAAATAATGAATTTGGAAAGCTGAAATTACTTCTTGATTCATGAGCTATGGAATAATGTGTTAGCAGGCATGAAATTTCCTTGTACATCTCCCTCAGAGCTTTCGAGTGACAAGGTACATTGTCAATGAGCAATAATATTTTGACAGTTATCTTTTATTCTGGGTAGTAGGTCTCAACAGTGGGCTCAAACTATTTAGTAAACCATGCTGTAAACAGATGTGCTATCATCCAGGCTTTGTTGTTCCATTTCTATAGCAAAGGCAGAGTAGATTTAGCATAAATCTTAAGGACCCTAGGATTTTCAGAATGGTAAATGAGCATTAACTTCAAAATTTACCAGTTGCATTAGTCCCTAAAAAGAGTGGCCGGGCGTGGTGGCTCAAGCCTGTAATCCCAGCACTTTGGGAGGCCGAGACGGGTGGATCACGAGGTCAAGAGATCGAGACCATCCTGGTCAACACAGTGAAACCCCGTCTCTACTAAAAATACAAAACATTAGCTGGGCATGGTGGCGTGTGCCTGTAATCCCAGCTACTCAGGAGGCTGAGGCAGGAGAATTGCCTGAACCCAGGAGGCGGAGGTTGCGGTGAGCCGAGATCGCGCCATTGCACTCCAGCCTGGTTAACAAGAGCGAAACTCCGTCCCAAAAAAAAAAAAAAAAAAAAGAGTGTCAACATGTCCTTTGAAGCTTTGAAGCCAGGCCTTGACTTCCATCTAGCTATGAAAGCTCTAGATGGCATCTTCTTCCAGTAGAAGGCTGTTTTATCTGCATAGAAAATCTGTCTGTGGTAGCCACCTTCATCAATGTTGTTAGCTAGATCTTCTGGATAACTTGCTGCAGCTTCTGTATCAGCTCTTGCTCCTTCAACTTGCACTTTTATGTTACGGAGATGGCTTATTTCCTTAAATCTCACGAACCAACCTCTGCTAGCATTAAACTTTCCATCTGAAGCTTCTTCATCTCTCAGAATTTATAAAATTAAAGAGAATTAGGGACTTGTGCTGGATTAGGCTTTGGTTTAAGGGACTGTTGCGGCTGGTGTGATCTTATATCCAGACCACTACAACTTTCTCTGTATCAGCAGTAAGGCTGTTTTGACTTCTTATCATTCATGAGTTCACTGATGTAGCACTTTTATTCAAGAACTTTTTCTTTGCATTCACAACTTGGTTGAATATTTGGTGCCAGAGGCCTAGCTTTTGGCCTGTCCCCTCTTGACAAGCCTTTTTCACTAAGTCTAATCATTTTTAGCTTTGATTTAAAGTGAGAAATGTGGCCGGGTGTGGTGGCTTATGCCTGTCATCCAAGCACTTTGGGAGGCCGAGGTGGGTAGATCACCTGAAGTCAGGAGTTTGAAACCAACCTGGCTAACATGGCAAAATGCCACCTCTACCAAAAATACAAAAATTAGCTTGGCATGGTGGCGCACACCTATGATCCCAGTGCCTTAGGAGGCCGAGGCAGGAGAATCACTTGAACCTGGAAGGCGGAGGTTGCAGTGAGTCGAGATTGTGCCATTGCATTCCAGCCTGGATGACAAGAGCAAAACTCCATCTCAGGAAAAAAAAAAAAAAGGGAGAAATGTGTGACTCTTCCTTTCATTTGAACATTTATAGGCTATTGTAGGATTATTTATTGGCCTAATTTCAATATTATTGTATCTCAGGGAATAGGGAGGCCCAAGGAGAAGGAGCAAGATGGGGATTGACAGGTTTGTGGAGCAGTCAGACACACACATTTATTTTGCTACATGGGTGTGGTTTGTGGTGCCGCAAAGTAATTAAAATCGTAGCATCAAAGATCACTGATCTCCGATCACCATAACAGATAGAATAATAATGAAAAAATTTGTGGTGTTGCAAGAATTTCCAGTATGTGCTGGAGAGACATGGAGTGAGCACATGTTGTTGGAAAAATGGTATGAGGAAACAAAGGATGCCTGTAGTTTTATCACTGTGGAGCATACATACCATTTAAAGAAACTTCATGCATAGCGTTTCGTTTCCCAGTAGGTCAGGTAAGTGTGTGGTTAGAGGATCAGCAAGAAGAAGTAAAACATTTTTTTAGTGAGGAGAATTTTGATATTTGAAAAACAAGTGTTATATTAGTGAGCAAGGGGAAAAAATCAGAACCTTATTGGACTTTTCTTCATTTTTGGTTTAGCATTTACACATGTGCATGCCCTCACATGCACACAGACACAAGCACATATTTAAAATGTTTCCTAGGAAATGGGGTGGGGAAAGGGGAGTATTACATCATGGCAATCCTTAAGGCCTGTGAAGATCTTCATCTAGCCCTGTTGATGATTAATTTTTTCGTGTGTAAAGCAAGTAACCTTTAGTTTATATAACCAGGATGAATAAGATGTTTAAAAAATAAAATACATAACTCACAGTGAACTACAAGTCTGTTGGTTGGACTTGATGAAATGTAAGACAGTGACAGCTTTCCTCTAGCAGCAGAGTGGCTTTCTGAGCAGTTAACACGCAGGTGAATTCTGTACTAGGCGGGTTAAGTTTGTTTAAGGTGTCTTCACCACACCATGGTTGTACATGCTTCATAAATGTTTTCATTGAGTGGCAGCTGTGTTCTTTCAGGCTGCCTCTGGATAAGTCCATTTTTTTTTCTAATTTTTCTGATGTTGTATTTACTCTTATGCTTTCTTAAATTTAAAACTCTTTGAAAATTGTGTGTTTAGGGAAGAAAGGCAGACTAATAAAGAATCAGTGGCTTCATCCTGTAGTTTTCATCAGTATCTCTTGTGTAAACTTTTTAATAAATATGCCTGGATTTCCACTATCAACCTGTTAAATCAGAATCTCCTCGTATATAGGCTTCTCCCAGAGAATTCTTCTGAATATCTGTGATTATCAGTCTCTGGGTCCTCGATCAGTGGTTCTCACCAGTGTGGTTGGTCCCTGGACCTGCAGTGTCATCATTCCCTGTGATCTTGTATAAACTTCAGGCTCCTGTTCCACTCGCCCGTGTCCCTCGACCTACTGAATCCGGAACTCCTGGGTGGAACATCAGGCTGTGTTTAACAAGTCCTCCCATGGTTTTGGTTTGTTTGTTTTTGAGACGGAGTCTTGCACTGTTGCCTGGGCTGGAGTGCAGTGGCGCGATCTCAGCTCACTGCAAACTCTACCTCCCAGGTTCAAGCGATTCTCCTGCCTCAGCCCCCCAAGTAGCTGGGATACAGGCACCCACTACCATGCCTGTCTATTTTTTGCATTTTTAGTAGAGACGGGGTTTCACTATATTGGCTGGTCTCAAACACCTGACCTTGTTTGTGATCCACCCACCTCGAGATTACAGGCCTGAGACACCGAGGCCAGCCCACTGTGGTTCTATTGTCCATGTAAGTGTGAGATGCACTGCCTTAGATCATTTTAAAGGTCCCATCTCCTGCAAATGCTTGTTTTGTCCTGGCTACCAAAAGCTTTTAGGACATTGCGTTGTTGCCCACTCTTCAGCATTTTACCCTTCTTTATCCAGCTCTTTTGCTTTAAACTTTCTACTTGACTGTCCTTATACAATTAATGTCTTTTGTTGTAAACCTTCTCAAATTCTTTGTGGCAGAAGCAATGTGTTAATCATAAATAATGAATAAAAAGCCCTTTTTCCTGTTGTGTTATGTTTCTTTACTATTGGTCAGTTTTTTGATGATCAGCAACTGTGGAATTATTAACCTTGTTTATGGGTAAGAAGCTAAAGAAGGCTGCCTCCTGGTTTGGTTCTGGAATTGACATGATGCTTGAGACAGATGAGTCATGTTTCATGTGGGATAGTTGGAGAGATGGCCACCATTTTCTCGTCATCCTAGCTAATGTCACTCTCAGCAAATAGCTCTGGCAGAGTGGCTCCTTTAAGTTCAATGCAATGTGAACTAGCCAGGCAAGATGAGGAATTAGGGCTCTCTCAGCTCACTGTACGGAAACCTCCTTTTTGGCTCTCAGATGGTTTCCAAAGCTATCAAAATAATATCATTTGCAGGCACTTTTCATGGCTGAAAGGAGCAACTTGGAGAGGAAGAGGAATACTCTGCAAACCCTGGGAGAAATGTTTTACAGCTGGGCAGTGCACATAAATGCCAACTGAATGCCCTTTCAGTTGTGTTACTCACCATTGGGGCTCAGCAGTAGAAGAGCCACTCAACAGAAATGAAGAGTACCTCACAGAGCATTTGCACTTGTAAACCAACTTTTCTTTGTGGCCCACAAACAGCAATGTGTAAGACATTGTGTTACAATACTCAAGTAAGTCTTGCAGTGCTGAAGGGTTGGTAGGCCGCCTGTTGCTCATTAGAGATCCTGCCTGGCTCTTTTCCTGCAGAATGAGTGGTAGATTGCTGACACCTGCTTTCCCATTCAGACTGAGGATGTGAATTGTGTATTAGGAATGTCTGAAAGTGTTTCCTTGTGTCCAAGTTGGTAGAGCTTGGTGCTACCTTGGGAGAAGGGGGTGAAAATTCAGTGCTGGAAGGGGAGATGAAAAAAATTAGTGGTGAGAAACAAATATAAACTGAGATTTTCATCCTCATTTAGTGATTTCTGGCTGCATTCTTGGTTGTCCTCTGATTTGGTCACTTTGAAGTAAAAAGATTTGTCCTATGCATAGGAAACCTCAAATATTTCTCAAATTAAGACTGTGAGCATATTAAAAATAGGATGGAAATAAATTTGGTTATAAGAGCATTACCAAGTTATCTTGAAATAAATTTGCCTTAAATATGTAATATTCAAGTGTGTTGGTATGATCGGTATCTTTGCATACTTATGCCCATGTGTCTGCTTTGCCTGTTTTTACCTGCCATAGAGTCTTTCGTAAAAACTGTGGCAGAAGGTGGAATACAGGGGTTAATGTGCTGTCTTTAGTCACAGATAAAAAGTGCCCCTTGTATGCAATGCATTATGCTGAGTACGAGGATTAGAAGAAGCACAAGACAGACCCCTAATTTTTCAAGTGCTGGCAGTCTACAGAGTATATGGGCAGAAAAGACACGTCAGAGGCAGTGCAATACTGTCGTACCTCTAGCAAGAAAACAGATGATACTTCTGCTATATTTCAGTGGTTTTGGAGAAGGTAGAGAACTGAGTGGGGTGGGTCAAAGAGAATATGGAACTTTCTAGGTATTAAAGGATAAGGAGAATTCAGAGAGTAAGGTTAGGGTATGTGTGTGACACTCTTTCCCTGCCTCTAATAGGCTGTAGAATTAAAGAGAATTTACAAAAAAAAGAATGGCAGCATTTTCCCTTGACTCATTTGGACCTGTCTGGTTATTGTTGTGGATATTGGCCTCCATTTGTGAACTGTGGATGAAAAGGGTTAGGGTTGGGTCATGGCCTTGGACCGCAGTGAAATTAACTGGCTCATAATGTGATTGAACGAATAACCTTAGCCACATTACTACTGTGCTTTGACCAGTTGAGTCAATCAAACATTATAGAAAGGGTAATCAAGATATCTCTTAGAAAGAGACCTGTATTTCTCTAATGACTAGTGATGATGAGCTTTTTTTTTTCATGTTTTTTGGCTGTAGAATTTTTTTCTTTTGAAATGCAAATCAGAACCACAATGAGATACCATCACACACCAGTTCAAACGGTGATCATAAGTCAGGAAACAATAGATGCTGAAAAGGATGTGGAGAAATAGGAACACTTTACAGTGTTGGTGAAAGTGTAAATTAGTTCAAGCATGTGGAAGACAATGTGGTGATTCCTCAAGGATCTAGAACCAGAAATACCATTCGACCCAGCAATCCCATTACTGGATAAATATCCAAAGGATTATAAATCATTCTATTATAAAGACATATGCACACATATGTTTATTGCAGCACTGTTCACAATAGCGAAGACTTGGAGCTAACCCAAATGCCCATCAATGATAGACCAGATAAAGAAAATGTGGCACATATACCATGGAATACTATGGAATAGTATGGAATACTATGCAGCCATAAAAAAGGATGAATTCATGTCCTTTTCAGGGACATGGATGAAGCTGAAAACCGTCATTCTCAGAAAACTAACACCAAGCCAAACACCACATGTTCTCACTCATAAGAGGGAGTTGAACAATAAGAACACATGGATGCAGGAGGGGAACATTACACACCGGGGCCTGTTGGGGGATAGGGGTTGGGGAGAGATAGCATTAGGAAAAATACCTAATGTAGATGACAGGTTCATGGATGCTGCAAACCACCATGGCACGTGTATACACCTATGTGACAAACCTGCATGTTCTGCACATGTATCCCAAAACTTAAAGTATGATTTAAAAAAAGAGAGAGACCTGTATAGCAGTAAACATAGGAGTGAAATCAAAGCCAGGCCCTTTTCTCATGTAACACCCAGGTGTTTATCTCTTCATTCCTGAGTTTTTATACTTGTTTCTGCATGTAATAAAAATAAGGTAGGGACGACAAAAGTAACATGACGCTCCTGTGTTAGTACTTCGACATAATGAAATTCATCATAGTTTTTGAAGAGACTGCTTTGAGCAACAATATTGTTTTCAACTTTAAATGTGTGATGTCCTGTAAATTTATTGATGGTGCCTTTTTCTTCCTCTTTAAAGTCTGAACAGCCCAGTCCTGCCAGCTCCAGCTCCAGCTCCAGCTCCAGCTTCACACCATCCCAGACCAGGCAACAAGGTATCAACATCTCCTGCAAACTAGGAGATGCTTTTCTCATAAAACATCTTAATGGGTTGATGTATCACCTATCTTCTACTGTTTTATTATTTGAATCATAAGTTGGCTTTTATACAGTTATATTTATTTCCCTTAGGAATACAATTGAGTATTATTCTGATGTATGAAGCAAGGCTCTAGAAATTCCCCTTTTTCTAGTCCCTGCCATCAGATTCTCATTGCTACCAAAGGATTATAGACACAACCCATTCCAGGGAGTTCCCAGAGGAAATACAGTAGCAAAAGCTGTATTTAAAAGGCTTTGACATAGGGGAATAGGTTTTCAATTTTCCTCCTGCGTTTTTTTCTACATATTAATAGTCTTTCTTAAGGAAATGCTAATTGGCTATCTTTTGTTTTTCTCTACTCATGGTCAAGTGTTAACTTGAACTCAGAATAAAGACATTTAAACTAGAATATTTAATCATATTTTCCATTTTTGTATATGTGGAAAATCTTCAAACGTGTACTGTTTTTACATGAAAAATGCATAGATATCAAAGTAGAATTTGTGTTTTCACATATATTGAACATTGCCTTTTTCATTGACCGCACTGAATTCCTGATGGCCTTGAATGTTTTGAAAAGGATTAAATTGTTGTGTGTGTTTGGACTAAGGCTAAGCTCCAGGAAAAAATCAAATAAAAGACAGTGATTGTTTTGGCTATGCAGAGGTCTTGTTTCACTCACTTTCAAAGAAATAAGCCCACTACAAAAGCAGAAAAATTTGGATTTTGCAGAATGAGAGATTGTAGAGAGTCAAGATAGTAATATCTCATATATCTCTGTCATAGATTAGACTTTAAGAATGGTCTAATTCAGAATGAAAGTGCCTCTCTTTCTTCATTGTCTTTATAACCTCTTCTGTTAAAATTAAAACTATCTGTTTTTCTTCACATTTAGACTAGTAAAGTGAAAATAAGCCACACTAATGAGTTTGTGTTTGTGTGTGTTTTCCTTTCTGTCCTGCCCTAGAATAAAATTAGAGTTTGATTTTTTTTCTTTTTCCTGTCTGATACTGGATATTGTCTTGATTTTTCTGGGTACCTGATTTATTATGTGGTCTTATTTATGTTTATACATGCTGGTATTTTGCCAGCGATTTCTTAAAAAGTAAAATGAAAATTGGCTGCTTAACATTGCTGCAATAAGACCTTGTTCCAAGATCAATATGAAGATCAGAGGTAGGATATTACACCATGGAATTGAAATACTTTATAATCTGAACTTGACTGAAATGCTTGCTTGACCTGAAATTGACCTTGAAATAAAAGGAACAGCTAAACCTTAATAGATCAAAAACTACCACACAAAGGCTACATTGCCAAGAACAAGTTACAGCCACAGTGATTTATTAATCTCAACTTTTCAATACATGGATTAACCTAACAAAACATACTAATAGATCTTTCTTTTTCTTTTTAGGGATAATTTTTCTTAGGGAAGAAAAGTACACAGAAAAAATTTCCTAGAAAATAGAGATTCTTTAATGAACAGTTTGGGAATCTATTATGAAAACAATAATGTTTTGGCAGAGATTGAGTTTTAGAAACTATACCAAATTTGCCTTGTAAATTGTATAAATATATATGATGATGATTTTTATCCAATGTTCAGGCTAGTAAGCATTCCCGTTTCTAAAATGGCTAAGTGTGTTTGAGTACATGTTTGATTGCCTGTGGTTCATTGTCATTACTCAGGTCCTTTAAGGTCTATAATGAAAGATCTGCATTCCGATGACAATGAGGAGGAATCGGATGAAGTGGAGGATAATGACAATGACTCTGAAATGGAGAGACCTGTAAATAGAGGAGGCAGCCGAAGTCGCAGGTGAGTGTCTTGGAAGGAAAGAGGTTGCCTGTGATGAAGTCAGACTCTCACTAGCCCTACTGGTATAATCACAGTGAAGGTGTGAAACACCAAAAACGGCAGTAGATGGTCACATTCGTTTGATCCTGGGGCACCTTGGCATGCCTACCCTCGCTTTACAGGGAACTGTTTCCCCTTTTTCTCAGGAAGAGGCTTTTCCTCTAAAAATTTTATAGGAAAAAGTCATATTAGAAGTCCTTCCTTGGATGCCAAGTGGCGGGACTGACCGTTGAACTAAAATCTGTTTTCATTTGAAGAGTTTGTATAGATCTACCTCTGGAGATGTTTTCAGAATTTGAAGAAATGTGTGTTTGTAGTTAGAAATAGATAATTGGCTCTAGTGAATTATGTGTGTGACCTAATTAAAACTAGGATCACCTGTGTGTTTTACAGAAAATAAATTCCTTTTAAGTGTGCTGACAATTAGGAGCCTTAAGTAGCTCTATTGCTGTGAGGCATAATTCCACGTTATAAGAGGGTAATTCGTGTCACTTATAATTAATAGTCACATTGAAATTGCCCTGACGATTTTATTTCTTTATCATGAGGAAAACAAATAGGCATGCTCACTTTAATTTGTCTTGGGTGGAAAAAATACAAATCTACTTTAACTTAAAATCCAATTACATTTATAATATATTGCATTAAATCTTTTCCTGTTATCCATTACTATGTAGAAGACCCTAAGATTTAAAAAAAAATACAATCTTAACCCAAACTGGAGAGAACGTATGTTTGCTAATTGCCTATGCTTTGGTGTTCTCTGAAAAGAGCCTCCTTAGGGTATGTGGCCTATCAGATATCTCAATGACGATTTCTTAAGGTCTCCGTCTATTCAAGACGGTTTCTTATGGTCGTATTCAGCACCTCTTTCTCTGCTTGTCTCTCAAACTTCACTGTCAGCATTCCTTTTAAAGGGAGGAAATAACCTCTTTATTATGACATTGGCTTATAACATTCCCTTTAGAAGTCTTTTGTCTGATAAAAAGGAAACTGGCAGGGAAAAAAGACCTGAAAATGAACTGAAACTTAAAGTAGCTTACTTATATCAACCAAAATCCTGACCACTGGCTTCTCTCAAATTTAATTAATGAAAATGTGTGACCTATTTAGATGATTTTCCAAATTGTTATTTAGAAGACCTGGGTATTCTCTGATTAGCTTTTGCCCACCCACTTACTACTCCAACCCCTGAGTTGATGTGGTCATCATACAGGTTTGTGAGTCATTTGTTGTAGATATACATTGTTGGGGCTGCTTTTCTTGTTCCCTGCCTGACATGCGCTGTTAGCATGGCAGCGCCAGTGTAACATTTGATCTTCACTGCACTTGTGAAGTCTCAACTGTTTAATCAGTTTAAATACTCAGCCTTCCACTTCACTCAAGAAGTGTTTCAAAACAGCGCTTCAACTGAACACTTCATTAATGTAATTTAGTTAAGAAAAACAAGTTCTATCAGTTTTTGCTAAAAGGCTGTCCCAGGGTATCCTTTTCATTTCCTATCTTGTATCTTGCCTCTCTGAATGTTATAGAGCTAGAATGTGATTGCCTATTCAGAGTGAAAGAAAAGCTATCCTGATTTCTAAAACAGTTTCTGTTTCTGAGAAGCATATTACATTAGGTGCTATATAACCAGAGAGGGGGAGCAAACACTGAAGGAGGACATCTCTGAGGGAGGACCATATTCAGCACAGTAAAATAAAGAAATTGCTCCTATTCTGGATAAAAGAAAATTCCATTTTCTTCTGAAAAGAAAAAATGGGGAGGAGGTGATGTTTATTCCCTTTACTTGTTTAATTTTTGAAAGCTATCACTGTAGTTTTCTTTTTTAAAGAACACTTCAAATAAATTTATTCAAAATAAAAACAAAATTCGGATATTAATATTAGGTACTAAGAAAGCAAGGCTAATAGCAAAATAAATAAAATTAAAAATGATGAAGATGTTTTAAAGTCATGAATTCAAAATTCTTGGTAGAGTTAAGACAGAATTACATTAATATTTATAAACTGCAGATAGATTTGAGATTGAGTTTCTAAAAATAATGGGGGAAAATGTACAGAATATTTTGTTGCTTAGAATGTAAAGTACTGTACTTTTTAAGCATGACTCTAAAACCAGAAGATCAAAGTATATATTTAATCTACTAATGAAAGAAGTTTACATTTTATAAGAATACAGTGAAATTGTTCACATCTCTGATGAGCAAAGATTCAAATGTTTGAAATTAAATTATACTTATGAGAAATTAAATTCTATTTATGAGTTCAGGGAAAATATATTGTTGCGATATTATAAGTGGTGGCAACTTTTTGGAGGACAATTTCCCAGTATTTGACTTAGTATTTTCACTGCTTGCAATTGACACTACTGCGATGGTCACCAGTGGTATGCTGAAAAATGTCCTCCCGAGATAGCCACAGCCTAATTCCTGAAACCATGAATATTAATTTATTTAGTAAAAGGGACTTTGCAAATAGATTGATTTGCATGTGGTTCAACATATGCAAATCAATAAATGTAATCCATCACATAAACAGAACCAATGACAAAAACTACATGATTATCTCAATAGATGCAGAAAAGGTCTTCGATAAAATTCAACAGCCCTTCATGCTAAAAACTCAATAAACTAGGTAATCATGGAACATATCTCAAAAATAATAAGAGCTATTTATGGCAAACCCACAGCCAGTATCTTACTGAATGGGCAAAAGCTGGAAGCATTCCCTTTGAAAACCGGCACAAGACAAGGATGTCCTCTCTCACCACTCCTATTCAGCATAGTATTGGTAGTTCTAATCAGGACAATCAGGCAAGAGAAAGAAATAAGTGTATTCAATTAGGAAAGGAGGAAGTCAAATTGTCTGTTTGTAGATGACGTTGTATATTTAGAAAACTGCATTGTCTCAGCCCAAAATCTCCTTAAGCTGATAAGCAACTTCAGCAGTCTCAGGATACAAAAATCAGTGTGTAGAAATCACAAGCATGCCTATACACCAATAATAGACAAACAGAGAGACCAATCATGAGTGAACTCCCATTCACAGTTGCTACAAAGAGAACAAAATACCTAGGAATACAACTTAGAAGAGATGTGAAGGACCTCTTCAAGGAGAACTACAAATCACTGCTTAAGGAAATAAGAGAGGACACAAACAAATGAAAAAACACTCCATGGTCATGGTTAGAAAGAGTCAGTATTGTGAAAATGGCTATACTGCCCAAAGTAACTTATAGATTCAATGCTGTTCCCTTCAAGCTACCGTTGGCTTTCTTCACATAATTAGAAAAAATGATTTAAATTTCCTATGGAAACAAAGAAGAGCCCATATAGCAAGACAATCCTAAGCAAAAAGAACAAAACTGGAGGCATCATGCTACCTGACTTCAAACTATACTACAAGTCTACAGTAATCAAAACAGCATGATACTGCTACCAAAACAGATATGTAGACCAATGGAACAGAACAGAGGCCTCAGAAATAATGCCACACAGCTACAACCATCTGATCTTTGACAAACCTGACAAAAACAAGCAATGGGGAAGGATTCTCTATTTAATAAATGGTGTTGTGAAAACTGGCTAGCCATGTGCAGAAAACTGAAACTGGACCTCTTTCTTACACCTTATACAAAAATTAACTCAAGATGGATTAAATATTTAAACCTAAGACCTAAAACCATAAAAACCGTAGAAGAAAACCTAGGCAGTGCCATTCAAGACATAGGCATGGACAAAGATTTCATGACTAAAACACCAAAAGCAATGGCAATAAAAGGTAAAATTGACTAATGGGATCTAATTAAACTAAAGAGCTTCTGCACAGCAAGAGAAACTGTCATCAGAGTGAACGGGCAATGAACAGAATGGGAGAAAATTTTTACAACCTATCCATCTGACAAAGGGCTAACATCCAGAATCTACAAGGAACTTAAACAGATTTACAAGAGAAAAACAACCTTATCAAAAAGTGGGCAAAGGATATGAACAGACATTTCTCAAAAGAAGACATTTATGTGGCCAATAAACATGAAAAAATGCTCATCATCACTGGTCATTAGAGAAATGCAAATCAAAACCACAATGAGATACCGGCTCACACCAGTTATAATGGTGATCATTAAAAAGTCGGGATGCTGGAGATGATGTGGAGAAATAGGAAAGCTTTTACACTGTTGGTAGGAGTGTAAATTAGTTCAACCATTGTGGAAGACAGTGTGGCGATTCTTGAGGATCTAGAACCAGAAATCCTATTTGACCCAGCAATCCCATACTGGGTATATACCCAAAGGATGATAAATCATTCTATAAAGACACATGTACATGTATGTTTATTGCAGCACTGTTCACAATAGCAAAGACTTGGAACAACCCAAATGCCTGTCAGTGATAGACTGGATAAAGAAAATGTGGCACATATACACCATGGAATACTATACAGCTGTAAGAAAGGATGAGTAATGTCATTTTCTGGGACATGAATGAAGCTGAAAACCATCATTCTCAGCAAACTAACACAGGAATAGAAAACCAAACACTTCATGCTCTCACTCCTAAGTGGGAGTTGAACAATTAGAATACATGGACACAGGAGGGGAACATCATACAAGAGGGCCTGTCAGGGGGTAGGAGGATAGGGGAGGGTTAGCATTAGAGAAATACCTAATGTAGATGACGGGTTGATGGGTGCAGCAAACCACCATGGCAAATGTAACAAACCTGTGCATTCTGCACATGTATCCCAGAACTTAAAGTATAATAATAATAAAGAAATCGAACTCCTACTGTAAACTCGAAAAGCAAAGAAAATATTGTAAACAACATTCTTTCAAACATTGGACAATAGGCTCTATAAGGGCTGTGATCTCCGAGGAAAGGAAAATCAGTAAGGGTAAGTCCCTAATGGTTCTAGTGCGCTGGTTGGAGGTAGGTTCCAAGACATAGTGCAGGAAGGAAGAACTTAAGGGGAAGTCTGAAAGTCCTGCTGGGTTATAGAGTCAGAGATTGTAGGTCTAGTTTGAGTAAGAGGAAGCAGTAAAGAGAATTTTAGAGATCTGTAGAGGTATCCTTCATGTTTCTGGCAAAGCATGCATCTCCATATCCATGGTGGAAGCCTCCACAGGGCCAGGAAAAGAATAATCAAAAACCAGCAGGCCATTCAGTTCCCAAAGCTTACACATGGCTTAGAGAGACTATGTCTTCATCAGCCAGGAAGAAAAGATACCTTAATACATGGGACATCAGTTACAATACTTAGATTTTGTTTACTGGGAGAGTTTATGTGGAGCTGGTATTAGACTTTAAGTATATGACAGAATTAATCAGTGAAACCATCTGTGACTTGTACAAGGAATTTTTTTTTAGGGAAAAGTTTTTGTTGTTTATTATAATTTCAGTTACCTTAATAGATACAGTGTTGCTCAGGGAATATATTTCTTCAGGAGAGAGATTTGATGATTTTTATTTTTTAGGGAATTGATTCATTTCATCTGGGTTGAATTTATGGTGATAAATTTGTTCCTAATATTCCCTTTTATTCACTTAATATCAGTATATTCTGTTGTACTGTTTGCTCTGTCACTTCTAATATTGGCAAGTTGTGTCTTATAACTTTTTTTTTTGCTGATTAGTCTGGGTAGAGTTTTCTGAATTTCAACTGATCTCAAGAAGCCAGCTTTTGATTTCACTGATTTTCTGTTCATTTATTTTCTCTTGATAATCTAGTTTGTTACGGATTTTTCTTAATTTAGAAAAATGCTTAATAAGAAAAGTTTTGCTTTTCTATCTTTAAGGTTTTAGATGATGTATTAATTTCCTAATGGGTCTATAACAGATTATCACAAATTTAGTAGTTAAAAAAAAAAAGAAATTTATTCTCTTATAGTTCTGGAGGCCCAAAGTTTGAACAAAGTCTTATGGGGCTGGAATTAAAATAGCAGCAGAACTTTGGCAGGGAACTCCATTGTTTGCTTATTTCAGCTTCTGGAGGTCCCCACACTCCTTGACTCAAGGCTGTATCACTCCAATCTCTACCTCCATAATCACATTGTAGTTTTCTAAAGCATATATCCCAAACATACTGTTTCTTTCTGTTGCTGTAGCATATTTCCAACGAATTGTTGTATCAGTGTTCAGAACTAGAGACAGCCTTGAATAATGGCACAGTAGAAATGATTGGTATTGGTCCCAGCATGCCAGGCTCCACCCGTTCGTTCCTTAGGTGCCACTCTGCTGTCAGTGGTGCAGAGTTTTCCACGTTCTTCATGAAGTTTCATTTATGCAGTTGCTTCTTCCCCTGCAGCCTGTATTCTAGCCATGTTTGTGACTTTTTCATCTGTAGCAGATTGGTAGGAGGAAAGGAAAATAAAGATAGTAACCTACAAACTGTCTAATTTGCTGTCCTTGTGTAAAGTATAATGGCTGAGCACTAACTTTGGGCCACATTGCTTGTATTTGAATTCCAGAGCCACCACTTTTACCTAGGTGACCCTAGATGAGTGACCCAGTCTTTCTAAGTCTCAGTTTACTCATCTGTGAAATAGGAGATATTGAAATAGAGAAATGGCAGGTATAGCACTTAACACAGTTCCAGATACAAAGTAAGCCCCAATACATGTTAGCGGTAGTGAGTTAAAATGAACTTGTCAAGGATATTGGATGGATTCTGTGTTTTCCGCACCTATTTCTGTGGGTATTTCAAGAATCATCTGTTTGTAATGATGTGGATAACTTGTCTCTATTTCTTTTCAGAGTTAGCTTAAGTGATGGCAGTGATAGTGAAAGCAGTTCTGCTTCTTCACCCCTACATCACGAACCTCCACCGCCCTTATTAAAAACCAACAACAACCAGGTAAATTGTGGGGTTTGCACTTTTCAAGACTCTGCAGAGCTAGGTGTAATCATTTTTACAAAGCATGCGAAAGTTTTCACCCCTGAATTTTAAACAAACTTCTCTTGATGCCAGATAGATGGGAAGCCACAGCCTTTGGAATAAACACGTAGTTAGGGTAAAGAGCTTCTGTTGTCATGAGAAGATGAGTGTGTTCCACTGGACGGTTTAATTAAGTAGTGCAATAAGAGAGCGTGACAAAATGTATTGCCCATTTACTCCTGATTTCAATATACTTTACACCTCAGCAGTAAGTAGGTGCCTTAATTAGGAAGAATATGACCTTTGGGGCTAGTATAAAGCCCCGGTTCTTTCCTACTGGTAATTTACTGGTGGGAAATTAACTTTTAGCTTTTGATTCTCAGTTTTCTTATCTGTTAAATGACATTAATATTACCTTTAATGTTATTGGGAAGGTGACAGATAATATACCTAAAGAGTAAAAGGCAGTACCCAGCCCCGACTTGGTACTCATTTGATGATAGTTCATTATTATAGGTGGTCGACCTCAGATTTTTCGTCCAAGAAAAAAGGATGATTACTTGGGATTTTAAGGAATAATTAATAAAATGCGGAGAAGATAATGGTCATTATCATTATTGTTACAACTTGAGCTAAAGGAAAGTGTATTAATTTGATAGTCAACTAAAACATGATTATTTGGATAAGACCTAGGCAGAACTTTGAAGGCTATGATACAGAGCATTTGTTAAATAAATTAGATTGGGATATTTTCTTTACCAACTAAAATAAACTATTTTCAGTGTCATGAACAATGTAAAAGCCTCACTGAGCATTGAGTTGATACTCTTATTACCATAGTTTTTCCTATCTTTTTGTTTCAACAGATTTTCTATGACCTCTACAATAAATGCTTAATTCAAGTTATTATACAAATATTAACTTGAAAACTAAACTGTGTTTTTCTGAAAATATTATGTTTCACAGGTGTCCTTCAATTTTAAATAGTCTTACCCTTAAATTTGTGGTCTTTGTGTTACTTGGAAAATGTTAGTGTATAGCTGAAGACCATTTCATTTTGCATTTTATTTAAAGCACTAACAAAGATCTCTTATAGTATAAACTTCCTCATTTATAAGGTTTGTCTATAATGCAAATCCATTCTTGTTAAGCAGCAATGGTACTAGTGCTCTTTATTGTACCAGCTAGAGTTCAACTGCAGTTTCTTTGTGTCCTACATAAAAATCGAAGTCCAGCCTCATTATCTGTTGCAGATGGGGTATTCAGCGACTTATTTACTTCTTTTTCCATATTCTGGCTCTTCCCCATCTTCAGGGCCAGCCATCTTTTACCTCTGGTGTGGATTCCTGCCACCACAAGTAAGGCATTTCAGAGGAAAGTAAAAAGAGGAAGGATATATGCATCATGGCCAGTCATCTGAGAACACTGGACTGGTTAACTAGATAATTTGGGATCCTTTCATAAATTTGTGCTTCAGTGAGAACTGGCATTAGGACAGAATTTTTACCTTGACGATATTTTTATATCCAACTTAAGCCGGTTTCAACTTGATTTCTGCATCTAGTGGGTGGTGTATCCGAGCTACAATACATCAGGGGCACAGCAGTGGCAGCGCCAGGAGGGAAGGGCATTAGGCTCTGCTTTTGTGCCCCTTACTAATTTCCTTCAGTATCTCTCCTAATCACAGTGAAGAGTGGGCTTGCCAGGGAATGCAGCTCCAGCAAGCTCCCTTTATGCTCTTCAAACCTTATGGCTGCCCTTAAGCCCTTCCTGAATAGGCAGTCTTGAACTGACCTTGGCTTTAGGGAAAGGTTTAGACTCTTTGTCAGACTATTTTTCACCTGTCTAGCAAAATAAAACCAAAACGGCTAGCATCTATGTGGAGAGGATAAAAGTGACCTTATCTGATTAAGTAGCATACCCCTGGTTCTTTGGCGTGTTTATTTGGCAAATGCCACTTCACACATGTGAATCGTCAGTCTGCCAGTAATACTCTATTATGTGTCGCTTTCTCCATGCACCTGTAAGCATGATAAGAAAGTCCATGTGCTTCTACTTTTAGGTAGTCTGGGTTAGGAAATACATGTGTCACAAGAGAGGTTACCTCCTTAGTACTATGTCTCAGAGCTGAGAGGACAAGAACAGGTTTTTAAAACTTTGTTTAGTGTTGATTTCTTAGCTCCCTCAAGTTACTTGCATTGAGGTCAGGTGTGGTACTATCCCTTTAAGACAAGCTTCTGGGACTTAAAAAAGTTACTAGTATATCTTAGTTCTCTATGGTGATGATGTAAGAGAGTAAAAATTTCTTAAAAAGCAATCAAATTTTACTCTGGAATGACTTTTTAGTCATATTTGAATGTGTGTGTATGTGCGCAGGAGGGAGAGAGTAAAGTAGGGGGAGAGAGACAGGGATAGCGAGAGAGCATGAATCTGAATTTTCACATTAAAGAATTGAGAACATACTCGGAAGGACTAACTCCAAAATGGGAAGACTCTGAGTTTCCTTCTTCCATACTCCTTGTCCGTTCTCTCTCTATGAATTGATAATGATCTCTGAGTTTGGTTAAGTACCAGGCAAAGCCGAATTGTCCACTGCCTTTTCTCAAATCTTCCAGGGACTAGAGAAGAGGGGAAGTACTAATGGAGTCAATCATTTTCATACTGAATAAAAGTGAACATAGACTCACACATCAACCAAGCAAGTAATTAACCTGAGTACTGTTGGGAGCCACTGTCATTAGCATGAAAGATATCTATCTGTCCATAACTGAGTTGTCATTCTTCATAAAGGGATACAGAAAAAAATAATCTTGAAAGTTTTTCAAGACATTTCCTCAGATTAAAGACAGAAGTGCTACTAAACCACAATTCTTCTATTTTCAGATACTACTGTATCTATACATGGAGTAGCTAGGCAGTCTAGGTGGCTTTGCTTCTCAGTACAGTTTAAAAGGGAATAATAAAGAGTGTTGCATCATTTTAAACAGAGATGGTTTTTTCACTCCAAACCTCCTTTATGTGAATGTCAAACAAAAACAAAATACATCTTTTTTAGCCAAAAGCCTGGTGGGGAGGGAGGGGAGAAAGGACTTGAAGGAAGGAAGTGATCCACTGGACGCAAGTCAATATTCAGAATATCATAAATCACCTATCAGCCTGAAAGGCATGTTGAATGAAATTAAAAAGAGTCTATCCAGTCAAACTGGTTTAAAATAAGCCTGTGGAAGACAAGGTGTTGTACTTTTTTATTCTGAAGTTGTTTCCCTAAAGATAAGAAATGATCATAAATAAAACAATTGTCTTCAGCAGGGCTGAGCTCTCTCAGAATGAGGTTTTGACAAAGCTGTTTATTTTGGAGCAGCGAGAGATCAAAGAAGGAAGATTAACTGAGCCCTCTCTGGGCAGCCACTCAGTAACTTGAGGCGGGTCACTGACACCCGGAGCTTTTGTTCCTGCCACTGCAGCTTCAGAAGAAAGAAACTAGGATTTCAATGTATTTTGGCCTTCTGTGCTGTAGCACTTACGGAATGTGTGGGGTGGGACTTAAGCATCCAAATGTTCTATTTTCTGCTTTGAAGAAAATGTGGCAGAACTCTCTAAGCCTAGTTAGCAAAGTTCTATTGCAAATACAGCGTCCTCAAGTCACTTCAACACCCAGAGTGCAGGGAGTTGGAGGAGGGGTTCGTGGGAGTCAGCAGGATATGATGGGAACAAAATTCAGTTCTGTAATACACAAGGCAAGCAGGCAGGCACTTTTTTTTTCCTTTCTTGCCTGAAATCTCAGCAGATTGTCTCTGCATGCCCAGCCCAGCAACTGAGTTGGCGAGGAGTGCCATCTACTGACCTACTTACTCCTAGGTCTCAGCACTGATTTTTCCCTTGAGGTCTCTCTTCCAACAACAATGGAGGAAGAAATTCTGAATGCAGTGGAGTATTTGGTTTCCCTTACAGTGGAGCATGTTAAAAATGATTGCCTTGCCTCTGCTAACAAGTAATTTCCTTGTGTTGCCAAAAGTATTGTCTTTTAAGTTAGCCTGGTCAAATTAGTCATTTGGTTATCTTCATATTAAAAACAATGAAAAAAGTATGATTCTCAGGAAAGACTGTTAGAAGGGCACTTTTTCCCTGTGTATTATTCTCAATTAAAATAAACATATGCCCTTTCAGGAGTATTTGGTCTTTTCCAGGATGTCATGTTCCTATTTTCATCCAGTAAAATGTTTATTAGTAGTAAAAAATGTTAAAGCTGAGTGGGAATCTGGGTGCTAACTTGTTCGTCTCTGCCATTTCATCCTTTGCCGTCCAGAAATATTAAATGATAAGGCTGGGACTTGAACTTGGACTTCTGAGCCTAATCGGTGCTCTTGCCACTACAGTGGACTCATTCTTAAAATCTTTATGTTATGGAGTGTGGTAGACTTGTGGACAGAACTGTTACTACGTTAGGGCAGAGAATAGGTAAAGAGAACAGTGGGAATATAAAACTTCTTAGGATAAATTATTCCTTTATTTGGAATTTTCCTCCTTTAATATTAGTCTCCAATTATAGAAACTCATTTCATAATGAGTTATAATGAAAAAGACAAATTTCTTTGCTTTTTATGTTCATACACATTTGTAAATACTCATTATTTATAAATTTAGTGGTTCTTAGCTTTTTCAAATGAGGGCCATTTAAAAATACTTCCCTTTTAATCCCCAGTTTTGAAGATGCTGTTAAAGAAATCAGCTGCGTTAATTAAGAAATAATTTTCTTCTCCTTTTTATTAAGTAGAAACATAGTTTCCCACCAAAGCTTCTATATAATATGTAAAACTATTCATAACTTAAGTTGTAATCAGTCCAGATAAAAGGAAAGGCACTTAGTGTTTTACCAAGGGTAAACACATCATTTCTTAAAAGACAGAAGATAGTCCTATCTCTTTATTTCTTGAGTTGGAGGATCCCAAATTGGGAGCAACCAGTATAACTCATGGCCATCTTCATTTCCAAAGCTACATCAGTTTAGCATATATGAGTAATTTTTAGAATGTGAAAGTTAGGTACTAAAAAGGGCACTTGAGTATTTGTTTTCATCATCCCTAGCATACTGAACACTAGTAGTCATGCTGAAACAGCAGAATGAATAGGAAAAATATTCTTGCCAGAGGGAACTATAATCTCGGTATAACTCAGCTGCTATACATATGGTGAGAGTCTTGTTGCAAAAGAGAAGCAACCTTGGAAGCTTAGATCAATTTCCTTATCATCAACTTTTTTTTTAGTTCCACTACTCTGACTCAGCATTTCAGATCCAAGTAACTTATTTTGCAAGGAAAATAAGATTAGAGAGAAGAAGGAAAATGTACAGAAAATAAATGCTATTTGGATAGTTAATGCTTCTGTATATTTCATTTAGTGAGTGCCTTTGTTTATGTGGCTAGTTAGCTAAGAGATGCTTGAAATAAAATTTAACACAGTGTTCTCTTTGATCTCTAGATTCTTGAAGTGAAAAGTCCAATAAAGCAAAGCAAATCAGATAAGCAAATAAAGAATGGTGAATGTGACAAGGTAGGTTTCCAGTCTGTTACTAGGAGGACTTCAACACTGACAAGTCTTCTGCTTCTTTCTGTTCCCCTTGATCATCTTTGCAGGTTCTTGTTTCATTTTTTTCATCAAAGTGTCCAAGATGCCTAAATGATGAGTATTTCATCCCAGTGCTTTGTAGTTTATTTTCCATGTCTTGTTTATGTCTTCAGTGTTATGCTTGGCCTCATGCTGTCATTTGCCATGATGCCTACGTTACCAAGGGATTTCAGGCACATTGAATTGGGAAGTAAGAGGATTGTGTAGAGGTTGCAGGTTAAGGAATCTCAGATGTAGGTGAGCAAGACATTTGATAGTAGTGCAGTGTGCTTTCCCAGAGTGTGCATCATGCATCTGAAATCTGACTGCAAGACCTGGTGGGGTTAAGTTACCTGTTTTGGGTAGGGCCCTAATCCTACTTTGTAAGGCCAGAGCAGACCTCTGTAATGCTTCACAAATCTTTTCCTTTGTCTTTATTGCACATGGTGCTGGGGGCACCCATACAGTTACACTTACAAAGACTCCCAAGTCTGAGCATATGGAAAGAGAGGTGTCCCCTCTGCAGTTTCAGGCGAGAGCTCTTCACAAATCAGATGCTGATTAGTTAGTGCTCCCTGTTTTTCATAAGACATTCTTCTTTTTTGTGTCACTTGCTAGCATTGTTTACTAGCAATGCTTGGTATGACCACGAAGTCTTTTTAAAACAAAAGCAAAACAAACAAGAAAAACCCCACACCACAAAATTGCCCTGACTTAATTGGTAATGTACATTGTTGCTTTCATGTTCAAACTTAGAAGTTTTTCTCTTAGAAACCTTCTGAGATTCAAGAGTGAAAAAAATGAAAGTAGCTTTTGATATGTTTAAACTCACAATTTAGCACTGAATTTCCCTACCTTTTGTAGAGATATTGTTGGAGGAAAGTGAGTCTACTGACTTGAGTCTTCATAAGAACAGTTAAGTCCAAAAATTCCCTCCAACTTCCTTTTTAAAGTTTGCTTGATAAAGGTGATGGCTGGTGCAAGAGAGGCTTGGTCTGCAGAGGCCTTTGGGCACTGAGTCCACACAGCCTGGGCCAGAGTGGTATAATGAGAAACCTCCAGCTGCTGCCTATGTATTCTTTCTTACATATTCACTTATTTTTGAACTACTTCTTAAAGTGCTTGTTCTTTTGGGGGACCTTCTTCTCTTTCAGGCATACCTAGATGAACTGGTAGAGCTTCACAGAAGGTTAATGACGCTGAGAGAAAGACACATTCTGCAGCAGGTGAGAAATGCTTTTTAGCTCAACCTTTTTCAGAAACGTCAAGGCCTGGTTTGTCCTGCGGTAGTGTGATAGCACCTGGAGGCCACTGCAGCCCCATACCATCAAAACCCTGCGAATGCCACGTGTAGACGTATTTGGGAAGGGTTCTTATTTCTGAGGCCACCTGGAAGTCTGCTTTGGAGCTCTGTGGCGACTATCTCCCTCCTCTTGTGCTGTGGATGATGAGAACTGGGCAGTTTGGGAAGTGATACTGGATTGTAGTGATTCCTCAGCTGACTGGTGTAATGTGGGCTAAGGGAGGGGACAGTAGAAATGCAGAAACCTTTGGGGCCAGACTTCTGGTTTCATGGGAAAATAGTGATAACAATTTGAGTTAAGTGTTGTAAACATTTGTGAGTCAATTTAGTAACCTTCAATTCTATTCTAAGGAAAATAAATATTTTCTTCATTTCCCTTATCTTGTACAACGTACATTCTATTATTATGAACTCAATTGTGGAATACTTGTAGAGTGGGGAAACTTCTATTAGTACAATTTGATGTTTTGAGAAGATAAGAAGGGTGGTTTTTCGTTTTCATCCAGTTAACGATGTGTGCCTCTGTTGCCTTTCCAGCAGCTATTGATAATGTTCTTTTAACACCCAAAGAGGAGAATGTGTGTTCTAAATTGTGGGGCAGATATGTAGATTGTTTTACTGTTTGAATTTTTTCTTTTTACTACTTTCAAATGACTTGAAGTTAGTACGTAATCTACCCCAGCTGTGTGTTGGTTTTTTTTTTTTTTTTTTTTTTAACATTTAATGGCTGGCGGTCACATTTATATTCTGTGTACATTTTTGCTTAAATCTATAAATATGCACTCTCAAACTTGCCAAGTTTCCTGATTGGCCTGATAAGCTTTTTAACCCTTCTAGAGTTTTAGATTTGAACAAAAGACTACAGACCTGTGATTCTTAACTGCAGATGAGTTTATTTCTTGCAGTTTCTTTTTAGTTAGTATGGGCGAGGAAGCAGGACTTGAGTGGCCTACCATAAGTGGTGGTCTAGTACTTTGCTAATATTTTTCTTAGGCCTCTTTTTAAGAACCAAATGTTGTTTTACCTGTCATTTACCAAATATCTGGGGCTAACTGACTTAATGCTAATTGCAAACCTATTGTGTAATCTTTCCATCTCTTCCAAACACTAGCTCTGAACCGCTGTGGAGCAATTGTCCAATAAAGCTATTAATGCCTACGCTGGGTCCATAGTAAGTCTCATAGGAGGGTGGGACAGGTGTTTGTGCAGGGCTGGGTCATCTTCATAAAGTAAGCCCAGTCAGTGATTCAAGGATACTAGGCCGTTGGGCAGATCTTACCTTGGGATGTCATTGGCATTCCCAATTTAATGCTGTCCTTTATTTTTACCTTTGAAAGAATTGTGAAGGAAGGTGGCTTACTGGAGAATTCCATCCAAGTGCATTATTTTAGTATTCTAGAGGGAGAGAGTAATATCTATGAATTTTTAACCTGGCATAAAGGCACTCCAGGGCACACAGCATTTCACCCTAATTGCATTCCCAGGCCAGTTGAAAGCTCTCAGTCTTTGGCCTTTTGCCTTGTAATGCAGCTGAGGCTTGTGATTATGATACCATGATGCATGTCCTGTCACGGTTTACTGCTTAATTAATTCCTTTTGTAAAACATAGCACTATTGAGGACTAATGTTATTCTCCACCTTGAGGGCTGCTCATCTCATGGCATGCATTCCACAAAGTCTACGTATTCTTTGCTGTGCAGACTTAAACACCTGAAGCAGAATTTCTAGTGGGCCCAGGATCACATCTAGGTCCTTCCCTGTTAAATGCATCCTATCCAAAAATCTGGTCTGACAGTTTTATTTGGCTCACAAAAAGCGGTTAATAGCCTTGTTTTACTCTGGGGGCATGCAGTCCTGGCACTCAGCAGCTAGTTTAATGAACAGACAGCATTGGATCAAGGAGCCTGTGTTCCTAAGCCACTTTTTCAAAGGGCATAAATACAGTAGAGTAGACACAGTCAAACCAAGAGAAGTGATTACCTAGGACTGATGAATAATTTGATTTCTCTTTAAACCACATGTTCCACATTTACTTGGAAAGTAAGATTGAACACATCTTAACCCCTGCAATGGAGCTCTAAGCTGGGATTCGCATCCAAGTCTGGGGGAAGAAAACTCTGTGGGAAACCAGGTTTCCTTAGAGCAATTTAGAAACCAGCTATCATTCTTTTAGAATTGTCTTCAGGGAATGGGGAATGCGTGGCTTATTAGAATATTCCTTCTAAGAACCCAGAGAAACCTCCCTGAGAAGTTTTCTGCTCTAAATGCTATTCTCCATCCTGGAAAATTACTTGTCATATCTCCACAGCCCTTGTAGATTGGAGCCTGATGGCCTGCCCCTTAACCAAGGGAAGGGCACACATTTTTATGTGGTGGTGTACAGTGCCTTCCAGACCATAGCAGAGGCCATTCTATGGGAAGACCTGTGTTATCCCAGACCTGGCTCCACTTCATACAGAAGCAGTTAAAGCAAAGCCTGTTCATTATTTCCCACAGTGAAGAGGCTGCTTCACATGAAAAAAGCCCTGGTTTTTGAAAGTATAATCATACTAATATCAATGCATCCACTTTTTTATAATTAAAAATTGGGAAAGGGAGCCACAGATCTGACAAGTGGATCTTACCCTGTTTAAAACAAAATGAGGCATCCAACAGCCTGCATAGTACCCCTTGAAAGGCTGATGTGGCAGGAAATAATCCATCATGAATGCTTTCACAACAACCGTCATCTGAAGAATGACTTCAGCAGTTTATACACTCTTCCTTTTCCACTACCCATATGTACCGGGTTGCCTGTTTTTCTTATCTGCAGTCACTCTATCTATTATTATTATTTTGGACAGACATTAATTATTGCATTATGATACAGAGTAATCACATCAAGGTTAAGCCACACTGCATCAGCAGTGAGCGTATTCCCGTAGAAAGGCAGAGTGGAGTTCTTCAGGCACTCATGGAGTGTGTTCAGGCTTTGTGGCCTGTGTCATTGGAATAAAGCATGTTAATGTTGTTTCTGATGCTCTGACTACCGGGATTCCTGGAAAGGAATGCACACTTATTTTTCTTTATGCAGCCCTTACTTAATTGAGGATTGGGCATATGCTCTAATAATTCAAATCATTAATGCGGTTCCCTTTGGCAAATAGTTCCCAACTCCCCAGCTGCTGCCACTGCTACTGCATTAAGGCTGTTTCTCTGCATCTACTTTGATATATTCTTATGGGCTCCCATAAAAATGTGGGGCTCATTTAGTTAGATTTATCCGAGCCCCTTTATATTGTGCATGTATGGCTGCAGGCAGGGCGCGGCATGCTGATAGAGGAGGTGGGGGTGGTATGGAGGTGCTGGAGATCTGCGAGATAGTACAACACATGAGAAATGCCCGGGCCGAAGTTCCTAGTGGGAAAAAGTGTTTATATGCTTTAAAATTAAGTGGCTTTTTTCTAGAAGGGATTTTTTATTGCCCAGTTTTCTATTTACTGTTAAATATTAGGGAGTAACTATATTGGGTCATGGAAAACTGTTTTCTTAAAAGAATGAATTATCTTTTTTTTATTCAAGCAGGCCTTTCTGAGTTTTAGTTTCTGGCATTTTCTTGCCTCATTTATTTTAGTGCTAATGAAATGGCTAACACTCATTGGGGCCGGGAGGAAAAAGTATCAGGTCTGTAATTCATGCTCAGTTTAGTTACCTCCCACATAATTAAGGATCAGTTTATAAGATAATCATAATCATGTTATCCTGACCTATGTAGCAATTTACCATTTGTAAGAAGCTTTACTTATGATATCTTGTTTGATCACCTGTCCAAACTTGTACAAGTAGAACAGGTAGAATTACTCCCATTTTACAGATGAGAAAATTGAGGCTCAGAGGTTATGATGTTCTGTCCAATGCCATTGAAAGAGCGAGCAGAGTCGGAATTTGATAAGCCAAATACAGAACTCTGCTCTGAATGCTTTGTCAATTACCTCCTGATCAGCTGGCTGGGGAAAGGAGTTAAATTCTGGTCTGCTTGTCATTTGCCTTCATTGTATAAATTTGAAATTCTAATAGCTCTGAAGAGACTACTTGTTTCCATCCCGAAATTTACGTATTTTCACTAGATCCATAGTATTTTTACACAAAATGGCAAAAAAAATTATTCCAGAAAATACATACTCTTAGTTCAATTGATGTTAATTATATAGGAAGTATATGATTAGCATGAAAAGTCTCTGTGTAGGCATAGCTCTGTGTTTGTGGTTCTGTATGTAGATATGTGTGGATGACTTGTTGAAAGTTCTATTACTATTAATAAGGGTCCATTTTAGATCTTTTAGTTTTAATAATACCTTGTTGGATAAATTTTTTCATAAATGTAGTACTTTAACCATAATTGGGTGCACACCTTCTAAGAATGTCTTGATGCATGTAACAACATTGAGTCTAGTGGTTTAAGCAAGTAAGGTTTCCTTCTGACACCCTCCTCACCTATAACAGTAAGCCTGGAGGTAAGTAATCCGTGGTTGAGGTAGTGGTTTAAAAGATGCCACTGAGGACACAGGCTCCTTGTCTTTCTGTTCTTCTATCTTTCATATATTGTATTCATCTACTTAATGGGAAGACAGCTGCTGCACTTCCAAGCATTGCATTTTCATTGCAGACAGGAAGAAGAAAAGAAGGCAAAAGACACATGCCCATTGTCCATACCCTTTTCAAAAATATTCCTGAAAACAGTGAGTTCTGACAAATAAATTTTAAATAGCAGCATCTGACAAGTGCTGCAAGTAGGTCTGGGGAGGCAAGCATTGTAGCTGGGAAGCTGTCAGAAAATCGGCCTTCTGTTAATAAAAAATAAGGAATAAATGGATATTAGGGAGTTAGTTAGCAGCATCTGTCATTGCTTCCACTATGACAGTAGCTTGTTTTATTACTAAGGCCATAGTTATATCCCTAAAAAATAGATCCTGAGAGTGGGTAAGACAATAACAGCTCAATCTGGAGCTGAGTAGTTAATTGGATTGAGGGTGAATATGTATTTATGCTATTGTGGAAGTCAAATAATATGTCAGAAATGGGGAGCACATTTTCTATTAGGAGCCACTGACCTAGAAGGAGTAGCTCACAAATTTACCATATTTTTTAAAAGAAAGCTAATTGTCAGAAGAGAAGGTTAAAAGTTTCAGTTCTGCTGTTACTCAACTTGGCATTAGGTAATCTAAAACTTCATTAAATAAATGATAGGCTCAATCATTAAAATTGTTATCTTTTTTAAGATTGACCTAAAGTTAATCAGAAGTAAGTGTTAGAAAGAGAATAATAGACAACTCAAATCAGGTGGAAATTTGCCAGCTGCTTACTCTGTGCAAATATTTTCTTATCGCCCTGATACTAACTTTCCTCCCTTCCCAAAAAAACTTTGTCCCCAACACACCTACTTCACACCCACACTGCTCTGGTACAGCATCCATGTCCAATAAAACTGTTAGTAGAATAAAAATGAAAAGACACTTTGCAAGATAAAAGAATCTCTGAAACTGATAAGCAACATCGTTCTTAATGTTAAGACTTCAGAAGTGTTCTCCTGAAAGCCAGGGCAAGAGAATAGTAATCGTCATCTCTTTCATTTAACATTTTTCTGAAAGTTAGAACCAATACAAGAAGAAATGAGGTATAACTATTCCAAACGACAGGACATAGGCATCCTTTCTTTTTCTAGATAATATTTCTATTTAATTAAATATCTTAAATATTTAAAATCTCCCCAAGATATTCAGGGGAATCAACTAAACACAACTAAAAGTAATGTATATGTTTTATTTTTCTGTTGAGGTATAACAAAGCACACAGAAAGGTGCATTTTCGCCAAAAGGCCATATCTTATGTAACCAGCACCCAAATCAAACAACAAAACAGTTCCAGTACCCAGGAAGGTTCCCTTGAGCCCCTCTGGTCACTACCTATCGTCTCGGGGGTAGGATTGTAGACAGTTTCTTTTTCTTTTTTTGGGGGGGGCGGTGGGGGATGAGTTCCTGTATTTTCCAAATTATTAACAATTATATAATGATAAAGGAAAATGATGTTATATAGGTATGAGTGTGTGTGTGCGTGTTTGTGCTTAAGTAGTTTTGTTATTTCTAGGGGGGTTTTGTTGTGTATCTACTATGTATAATCATTCTCTGTAGAGTCAGTAGCTAATTTTTAAAGGGTCTTGAAATGTTTTCTCCCGCTAACTACTCACTCACAGTTAAATATTCTGTTCATGACTTGAAAGCAGGAATCATTTTAAAGGGTATGAAAAGCAAGACAGGTTCTCACTGGAAATTTCTAAGGCTTAATATACCTTTGACTTACCAAGTTGACTGAGACAGTTTAATGCTATTCATGGTATGGGACCTTTTTTCTATAAATAAGAATGTTTATCCCTTGATTTCATATTTGATCCCCCCTCTATTACTCTCTCTTTGCTTTTTGATGTGTGCTGCTTATTGCCCAAACTTTCTCTTCTTCACTCCTCTAGATCGTGAACCTTATAGAAGAAACTGGACACTTTCATATCACAAACACAACATTTGATTTTGATCTTTGCTCACTGGACAAAACCACAGTCCGTAAACTACAGAGTTACCTGGAAACATCTGGAACATCCTGAGGATACAACAACTGGATGCATAAAAAACTATTTTTTTTTTTTTTTTTTTTTTTTTTGGTTGTGATTTTTTCGTTGTTGTTTATATGGAAACACTCAGAATGATGCAACCAAAAGGGAAAAAAAAAATAAAAATCAAACAACCTTCAGCTTTATTTTTCTTTAAAGCCAGTCATCATCTCTTGATAAAGGAGAGGTTAAAGCAAACCAGCCTCAGCGGACCACTCTTCTCTCCAAGGAAATCCCCGGGAAGAGTTAGCCTGGATAGCCTTGAAAACAAACAAATCAAACACAACACAAGAAAACTCAAAGAATGTGTATGGTATCATGTATCTCTCTGTGGTGGTTCATTCCACAGGACAAATGCATATTCAACACACTGCCTTATTACATAACTGATCTATTTATTATCGCATACAGATATTCTAAAGTCGTTGAGGGAATGACACCATCAGACATTCTAAGTACTTGGTCCCGTGGATGCTCTTTCAGTGCAGCGCCCTTGCCATCCCAAGCCCAGTGACCTTACTCGTATACTGTGCCACTTTCCACCAACTTTTTCCAAGTCCTTTAACTTGTTGCAGTCTGTATTTTCCACCTTTTGTTTTTCCAGTTCCAGGACACAGATTATCAACTGGGGGGACCAAATAGCCACCTTGATTTTCTTCTTTGTGGTCTTTTTCCTGAAAGTTGGGGCCCAGTCCTTGGCTGTATCCATGTAATGATCTTGGACCATGGTAGAAAATGCACCAAATAGGATCATATGAATTGCTGTCTAGCCTTAGTCAATAAACTTGTAGGACTTTTAAACAAAAGTGTATCTGTAAATGTCCTGAATCCAGCATTGTTGAGCTGTCATCAACATTCTTGTGTCTGTTTTACTGTTACAATATTAGGTGAATATGGAAGTAAAGGCATTCCACAGGATCATCACTTAAAAAAAAAAGGAATTCTGGTCCTGTTTTCTAAAAAGAAAAGTTGTAGAAATTCTTAATTTGGATCTATTTATTAGTAAGAGTTTCAGCTTTCTTCAGCTGCCAGTGTGTTGCTCATCTTTATCCTAAAAACATGGAATCAGAGATTTTTGTTTGTTCATATATGATTCTCTTAGACTTTTTTATATTTGAAAAAATTAAAATCTTTCTTTGGGGGAAAATTCTTGGTTATTCTGCCATAACAGATTATGTATTAACTTGTAGATTCAGTGGTTCAATACCTGTTTAGTCGCTTGCTAATGTGTCCAGAAGGATTTCTTGTATTGGTGAAAGATGGTTGGGGATGGGGGGATATTTTTGTTCTTGTTATACCCTTGTTTTCAAACTAGAAATCTGTCCTGTGGCATGCAAAAGAAAGCAAATTATTTTTAAAAGAAAAAAAAAAAAACCAAAGTACTTTTGGCGTCATTATTCTATCTTCTCCACAAGTGGAGAAACGAAAAATAAAAACAGCTCATTTTCCAAGTTTTTACTAGAAATTCAACTGAAAAGAAGAGAAATGAAGAAATACTTCTGGATCCAAAGGTTCGTCACTGGGTCAGCCTTAAGAAAGTCTCTATGTGTGCTAATAGACCAGTATCTCCCTTGTTTGTTCCCATGCCAGATGCTGTCTTTTCATACAGAGATTAACTAGTGTCTGTACAGAAAATGGTCTTTCCAGACCCATTCTTTTGGGCAGTTATATAAATGCAGATTGATAATGGAGTTATTTCTGCATTTTAAAAAGGGGATTTTTTTACACTGTTTCTTTCTATCCAAAGAAACTATTTTTTCTTTAAAAAATTATAATACAGCCATGCTCCTTGTAAATTATTTCTCTGAAGTGTCCTCCCAGAGGACAAGTGTACTTTCTCAATAATGATATGATTTGTAATGATGATTGGCATGCACCGTACTTGAAGCATTTGTTGTATAGTCCACTTCTCAATGTGCAGAGAAACTTTGAGTCATTTTGGACGTTAGGTGACTGATGAACTGTGTACTTTCAGTTGTGTTTTGTTTTTAACTTTATAGCTGGAAGGGGAGGGTAATGTTTATATGGAAATGTTACGAATTTTTAAAATATTTTAAAACTTCAAACTGCTAACTCACATCTTCTGATCAAACCAGAAATGTATATGGTTTAATATATCTGTGCAGTTTAACTAGAATAGAAGCATATATGTAATTTGGGCCATTTTTATTTCTGTAACTAAATTGTTGGGCAAAACCTATGATTTGCCAATGTAAAATTGTTTTCCCTTAAGTTACTAACCAAGAAACTAAGAGAAAAAATGGCCAAACAAAAGGGATAATAAGAAGGGCAGCTATCACATGATAAACTTTAGACTTGAAAATTAGGTAGTAAAGTTAATGTCTTCAGAATATCTTAAAATGTAAGTTTGTAAATTGATTAAATTCAGAAAAACCCATCCACTACTCAAGATAGCAAAATAAGTTTTTCACAAAATTCAGAGAGTCACGTTGATTTTTTTTTGAAGTACTCTTGCTCTCGTCTAATTTTTAAATACAGAAATAAAAAGATCCCTTTGAATTGATTTCAAGTAGTTACAATACTTCTCTTAAAGTAACCTGCTTAGTCTGCCACATTTATATACACCCAACTTGGAAGCCTATTAGGAGTATCTTCGACACATGAGTACTCTACCAGTGGCTCTGGTTTCTTAAGCACAAAGGGAAAACGGCAGGGTTTAATTTCTTTGGTGTACATATATAAATAGATGTTTCAAATAAAATTAATTGGATGAATGTGAATGTGGTTTGAACCAGCCAGAGTATTATAAACTTTAAAAAATATTTTCCTCAGTGATTAGCCGGGGAAAAATACATGTACAAAAATCCCACCCCTCCAACTCCTTATAAATTAGGTTTTGCCTCTGGTTTTGCAGCAGGATGTGTGTTGGTGGGGTTGGGGGTCCTTCTATCTTAGGATATAACAGTCGTGTTAGCAACAAAAATATTTTGCAGCTATTTTACGATCCTCACCATAATCTTCCTCTCTCTCAATCTTAATACAGACAAATAGGTATGTCTATACATGCTTTCATATAGTGTCAAAGTAGGGAAGAACATAAAACCTTCAGGAGATAAAAACTTTAGGAAAAAATATCTCCTAAGAGAGTGTCCTAAACATTTAAAATTGCTAGGCAAATCTCTCTAATCTGAATACTCACCTTTTGGTGGAACAGAGCCAATAAAATTGGTTTTCTTCCACTAAAAAGTTTCTTCAATCAAAAAAAATTTTTTTTTGCCTATATCTTTTTTTAAACCCCCCTGATTTTTAAAAAAAAAAAAAAAAAAAGGAGAGTGAGAGAGAGAAGAAACCAATTTAGGCTTGTATAACATCCCATTTACCACTTCAAGCTCCACAAATGTAGTTAATATACTTGTTTAACAGAGACTTTACTCTTCAATGTTTTAACTCTGCCTACTTAATGGAGTTGGATGTCCAGTGTTGGAAATGGTCAGTGTCTGTTTGGTGGCTCGTGTTCATTTTTGTCACTGTAGAAGTGATCTGCTCTGGAGTAATTTGCTGTTTGCTTATTACTTTCCACCTTTAGCGTTTTGTGTACTAATGCTATGTACTGCTCCTATATTTATATATATATACATATATATATACATATATATTATCAGAGTACTCTTGCTTTGGACTGTTGCTCTAAAACTATGACTATGATGTAGAGACTACTACAGCTGCAGTGAATGTTAAGGAGTCGATTCTCATGGTTTAGTTTAGTCTTGGGCTGGAAGTCTACATCTTTTGACCTCTTTTGTTTTATATGATGCTTTTTATTATGTAGGCTCTGCCATCCCTGAATATTCCTTGTAAAGATGCATTGAAGAAGTCAATTTAAAAGGAAGACAAAGCCACCGCTGTCTGTAAACTGTAAATATGTATTTTGGCACTTGTACTCCAGTATTCTGAAAATAGAGTTATGATGGAAATGCTGACAGATCCTTAATGGTGGCCAGAGCTACCATGCAGTGCAAAAATAAATTAAGTGAAAATGTATTATTGAGATTAACAGTGCAAGACCAATACATTTTATAAATCTGTCAGTATCTTTTTAATGGACTGTGTATGTGTAGTTATGTTGAAAGATACATTGTGTATGCGTGTACATGCTTTTGTGTAAATTTAAGGCACACCATAAGATGTATTTCCCTTCTCTAAAATCCATGTTGAAATGTAAGTAGAGATTGATAGAAATAGGTGTTTTACTTAAACTCACATAATCTATTGCAGCACCATTTTAAAAATGTATAATTGTACTGATTTTTCTAAGAGTCATTTGACCAAAGTTTGGCTTTATTTTGCATACAGGAAAAAGCCCCTAGCCTTTTCTCCAGAAGTGCTGCTGTTTCTAAAGAAGAATGGATGGGGAGATCTGAGGCATCCAGAGAAAGGACAGTGTGTCCAAAACCAGCTGAAGGCAGAGAGTACACGCCTCATTCATTTTAGGGGTTCATCGTGTCTAGCACCATTCTGTGTCCTAAAGTCAGTATATATATAGTTTTTTTTTTTTTTTAAGCTCTGCAGAGATGGGAACACGAAGCGGTGGGATACATTCTCGGCTTAAACTGGGCTATGTGTGCATGATATTTTTTTCTTTCTCCCCTCTTTTTTTGGAGGTGTTTGTTCAGAAACAGTGTGCTGTAACCAGACAGTCGATCTTACAAAGTCCCTGCATTTACTTTCACAGCAGGAACTGCTACCTTGATTAGACAGCAAGGAGAACAACTACAACAAAGAGAATAAAATACATTCAGTTTGGCAAATGACCAAGGAACTGGATGCGATGCTCTTACTTAATAGTAAAGAGATTCACATCCAATTTGAGGAAGTGACCTTATCTTCATTCAGGCTGATAAGCCATTTAGGGGCTTACAGTGGACTGCTTTGTCTGTTATCAACCCAGAACTGATTTTAGGTGTGGAAGCATCAGTCCCGGATGGGCTGGGGTGGCAGTAAAACTTTCTAATGACCGTAATTGGATTGCACTAATCTGTTCCCTTGTTGCAGCATACTCAGTTTTGTTTGAAATCATGGCTTTATACCTTCTCCAGTGTATAGAAAGGGTCAAGATTAGCCCCTGGCCCTAGTGAAGCACACTCACCCAGGGGTGCAGTGCACCACATAGTTTTCCCCAATACATTTGCTCCCTGTCTCTCTAATTTATGACCCCATTTCAATAGGCAAGGAAACCCGGAGAGAGATGACAGGTAGCCAAGCCTGACCCCCAGACCTCTCTGGTTGGTAATTCATGGAGTCTTCAAAACTAGTGGTCTTGTTTTACTCTGATTAGTGGAGCAACTAAGTGTATTTTATTGGTTTCCTTGCCAGGGATACCACCCAAATAGAAAACACAGAGCACATTCCAAAGCTTCTGCTTTCTCTGCCAGGTAATAGTATCCACACCTTCCTGTTTATGCGGTCCCCTTCTGTAGAGGCATTTCCAATTTTTTCCAGAGGTTGTTAAATTGCCTCTGGCTCTCAGCCTTTTGGTCTTAATTTCCCCTTAATTAAAGAAGGGTAACCAATGTGGTCCCTAGGAGCAAACAAGAGAAATACAGGGCACAAACCAAAAAACACTCTGATGATGATAACTGGGCCCCATGTCTCTTAAAACAACACAAATAGTCTACCACCTGAATGAGAAGGCTCCCTGAATCCACTTTTACAATTCAGGGTGACTACTGGGGCACTGGGCAATCTGCACGGAATCGGAGGTGCCCACAGGGAGTGGGAGATGGGCGGTGAGTAAAGGCAAAGTTATTTGCTCATTTTCCCCTTCTAATCATGTCTCCCACCCCATGCAGTCCCCACCACAGAGTTCTGAAGCTTCAAAAGGGTAGAAAAGGATAAATCCAGGCCATTAAAAGAAAATAATCAAAGCTATTGAAAAGATAAAACAAATGAGTCTCACTAAAAGGGCCGTCTGTGCAAGTAATAAGGTTGAAATACTGATACTGATTTCCTAGCCGAACAGCATTCCTCACACATGTGGTTTGTGTATCCGTGTCTGGGTGGGTGGTCTGGTGAGAAGTGCTAAACGCAGCAAGATGGCTTAGTTTTTGAGCAGTGGAGGGAAGCTTTGGGACAGGCTCAGCCCGTGGCATCTATAGTCCCTGCAACATAAAGAGGCTTTCCTTTTGCTTTGTTACAGGATGGAAAGTTTTAACTTGGCTTATTCATTTAAATGTGAGTTTCTATTCTGCACAGAACCAATCAAAGGGTAGGGGTGTGTGTGCGCGAGTGTGTGTGGGTGTGTGGGGGTGTGTGTGTGTGTAAGAACTTTCTTGTCTCTCGCCCCAGCCCTAGGGGATGGGATGTGTGGCACAGAATGTAATAACTCTCCATTTGTTGGAATGTATTTCCTGGGTGTTAAGCACCTGTTAACATCTCTTTGGAAAGTGATGCTGTTTTCAATAACACCTCACTCCAGCTAGGACAGGAAATAGCATTAAATTAAAGATACATGTGAATACGGTCCACAAGCCAGCCAAATAAAGGTGGACTCCCCCAAAAGCACATTTATACTGATGAGAATGCCAAATGAAGCACCCTCAGCTCAAAGGGGGAGACTTGTTAAGGGAAGCTTCTTTCATTCAGGAAAACACGAAGCCCAGCGATCGCTTTTGAGAGACACAAATCATTGTCAACTCACATCTGAAGACAGGTTGCTTCATGAATATCCCTCAGAATTGTTAGATGTTGCGACTTCTGTTCTGACTTTGAATCAATTAGGGGATAAATCACTGTTTTCCAGATTACAATATTTATTTGTGTCTATGTTTGTTATCTGTCTCCCTCAGTAGAACAGAAGCTCCTGAGGGTAAGGACTTTTTTTTGTTAACAGCTGATTCCAGGACCTAGCAAAAATCCAAGGCATACAAGACACCTGCATTTGTCAAATGAAAACGGGGGAGCATTTTATGGAACATGAACCTCTTGACATTTCATGAAGAATGGTTTTGCCTTTAAGTTTGGAAAAACTTCCCAGTGTATGACCCTCTTGGCAATTCATGGCATGCTAATATATTAAATCTTTGGAGAGCCACATGTTCTACCAACAATCAGACTTGTTTAACTTTATTTAATGCAATATTTCTCAAACTGTATGTAAGACAATAGTAGTTACACAAGATTATAGCTGTTTTGCATTTAAGAAAATGTTTCTCAAAATAGTTTTAAACTATATTTCATTCTTCAAGGTTTACAACATAGTTTGGGTAGCAGAGTTTCAGAGGACAACACAGCTATTAATATCTCCAGAAGTGGTTTTCTGGATTAGCTAACCATGTAAATTTTTGGCCAAACTAGAATTTTTAGATACAGGATTTCTCTATGTTGCCGGGGCTGTAGTGCAGTAGCCATTCATAGGCACATCATAGCATGGCATGGCCTTGACCTCCTAGGCTTAAGTGAACCTCCCACCTTAGTCTCCAAAGTAGTTGGGACTACAGTTACATACCACCATGTCTGGCAAGCTGGAACGTTTTTGAGAAGGAAATGGGACACTATTAATATTCATCCCAGGGCAACATGAATAAACCAAAGCTGTCTTTGGCAAATCAGGGAATGTGGTCACTGTAGCTTCGACGAACACTTTGGGACATGTGGAACTGAAAGTATACCCTCAGATTTCTCTTTCCTTCACTTTTATCATATGCACTTATAGGTGACTAGGTGAATAGGCTGTATGATACACTTATGCATATGATAAAAGGTATTTGGTTGGGCTGTGTAGAGTAGAAAAATTCCTTACCCATTGCAAGGTTCGTGGCTGACATCCCTATATTAAAGATAAATTAGCAAGAGAGAAGCAGAGCAGATTCATTCAACAAAATTTTATGTGACATGGGAGCCTTCAGAAATGAAGGCCCAAGAGACCAGAGGAAGCTCTGTTTTTATACTTAACTTTGATGAAGAATGGACAGTCATGCGAACGTATCCAAAAAGGGGGTGTGACCTAATGGCAATGAACTGGGGGCACTTAGCAAGGCCTGATTGTTCAGATTCTTTTGGCCTTGGGGAATAGGGCAGGACTTCTTTGGAACGAGGATCTTTTTGACCTCCTTTCAGGTAAGGTAAGTCAGAAAATGTTTTAAATGACCAGTCTTCCTGGGAGAAATGTGGGGAAAAGAGTGATCTTTCTGCTTCTGAGTTTTCTCAGTTTCCTGCAGTTTTAAATACTTAGTATTCCAAGGGTGCC